CAAAATTATAATTATTATTTGCAAGGGGATTAGAACTGCAAAAGCTTCCTAAAATTTATAACTCAAATATTATTCTAAATTAACTTTTGCAATTAACCGTTACAATTTAATAACGATACATAATTTAATTATAACGAAAATGTTATTTATAAAAATGCTATACTTTATTTTCTGTTTTTTGTTTTTGTTTTTTTAATTATTTTTAAAAATATTACTATAAAGTTACCTCACTTGTACATAGATAAAACCACTTAGTCTTGTTTCCTTTTCTTTAAAACTATTGTATATATAAGAAAATACAACATCTAGACAAATCTATGGTTTTTTTCAGACATGAATAAAAAAAAATTGTTACCCTCCAGGGTCGGTCTACGACCTCACACAATATTAGGGAGATCATTCGGCAATTTTTAATATATAGTTCATATCAGGTGAATTTTACTTGCGGGCACTTTGTATCCGTCATCGAGGGCTTAGAGTCTGACCAGCAGTTTACCCGTACGGCCTAGCCATTTACAGAGGTGCATACAAAAAATAGCCAAATATACAAAGGGTAAGTGCCCTAAAACCTTTGTTAAAATTACCCTGTTTTTCACATAAATTACAATGATTATATAGTGAAATACGACTGGTCAGTTTTGACCACTTTCCAGATTTTTTCTGTGTATGGCGAGTTTTTTCTGACACCCCCGTTGTTCTCCTACCACCCAACAAACTATCAAGTGTTGACGTTCGGCACATTTTTTTTCATTTTATAGCTTAAATTAGGAAAATTTAACTCTCGGTCATTGTTTAGCCTTTGTCGAGAGCTTTGAGTCAAACCGACAGTTTTTCCTAAGACCTATCCATTTTAAAAGTAGTATGCAAAACATTAGCCAGATATACAAACAGTAACCGCCCTAAACTCTTTGTTAAAATTACCCTCTGTTTTCCCATAAATTACAAAATTATATAAGGTCAATTATAACTGGTCAATTTTGATAACTTTACGAGGTTTTCCCAGGTATGGCGAACACAATTAATCCGAGAAGAACACAAAACACAATAAAAATATATACCCTAGCTAGTAGTTTATTCAGGTGTGTAGGCCTATATCTGGACCAGAAGTAAGGTACTCTGGGTCTTTTTTTCAGTTAGCCTATTCAAAGTGAAAGAAAATGTCGCTCTATTTTGCTGTTTAATGTAGAAATACTAAATAAAACATACGAGTTATAATTAAAGGACAAGCAGTAAAAGTGAATGTTTTTAGAGCCACAGCAGGGTAAAATATATTTCCAAATCCTAGCGAAAGCAACAACAAAAAAGAAAATCGCTAATGAAGGCAATATTCATTAAAATAAAATACTAAGTTGTCTGTTGTGAGCGCTAGACTGCTAATACCGAGTACCGGCCAGACAGTGCTCTTTACCTTTGTACAGCAAATCAACTAGGAAAAAAAAACCTCCGAAATCAAGCAATAGAGTAATCATTTAGGAATATAATCAGAACCCCAAAAACTGATAATCTACGCCACTTTATTAATTACTCCAATTCTATCAACTGTATTCCCATAAACACATATAACTGAATCAGCCACAGTACACCCAACCACTCTATACACAGCCTCATTACCCAGCCACACTACAAACATGTCAGACATGACTGTATAACTTTAAACATCATGTATGCATTTATGACCTACATGTAATATATGACTAAATAATCTTCATAAATGCATTTATGATCTACCGTTCCAGTATGCATGTATAAACTACACGCAATGTATGACCTTTACTATTATAGTTTAATACAAGTAGGTTTCATTATCAGCGCATTTAAAAAGTTTACTGAAATGGTTTTAGAAATTGTGTGAAACATGTATATACAAATTGAAAAAAAAAACCTACATCAACAGGTTTGAAGTTACATTTCAGTTCAAGACCAGTTCATCGAACGGTATACTTCTGTATGGAAAGGTGAAAGATAGGAAGGAGGAGATGGTTTACTTAACTACAAGATCTTCTGTCCAAATATGGACACTGAAATATATGTTCCAGCTAGAGGACATGAACAGAGATTGAATGACAGCATATGGCACAAAATAATCTACAAGGTGAGTTGTGTTTGTCCGTATTAGGGATAATTAAGTGGCATATTGTCACAATTTTCATTATCAGTTTTAGAGGTTCTGTTAATTTTTTAAAAAGACCCAACACCTCTCTGTTTCCGGAAGATTCTTTTTTATATGGTTTGCTATCTCTTGCTAACTAGCCTAAACTACCTCGAGTAGGCCTATCGATTTCGAGACTTTTCGGGTATGTTTCCCTCCAAGCTAGATACTTACTTATTTGTTTTAATGTTATACTTAACCAACAATGTCCTTCATGTTGCGTTTAGTTACATTTTAAAAAAAAATGTAATTCTTGTTGGTGCTGTTGACTTTAAGTTGAAACGTGTGTGTTTTATTTCTTTTTTATACAACCAAACGGTGTGGGAACTTGATACCGTGTACAATAACTTGTCTCCGTGTAGGCTACCCAGCATGGCACTATTGTATTTATAGCCACATACAACATTTTCTGTAAGGTTTCAACGACACGATTTGACGCGTTCATTGGTGCTGATACGGTAGCATCTCTTTTGGTATTGTTGTTATTCATGTTTGCTATAACGTTGGCAACACAAATTATGGCTCTGAATATAGTTAAGAAGAAAGAAAAGTATGATATTTTATTGTGGGAGAAATATGTTTATAGCTACTTCACTTTGACCATAAAAATTTGTTAATATATTCCATTGTTGAGTATATAGAGCTTCAATACGTTTTTAATATGTACTATTGTTATATTGCGCTGTTGGCATAGAATTTTCAAACTGGATATACATTTTACCTCCACATACTGTACTTAATATAATAGCATTGTTTTAAGTCTTATCGTTAAACTATGTCTGATTTGCTACTTAGAAGCTAAATTTCCTACCATGTGTCAAGACACGTTGCTATCTTTAGCCATCATCGGCTACAACAAATCTTCTCATTGCTGATTAGGCCTTTCTTACTGGCCTATGACTAAGGTAAACTACGACCTGGTTATACTACACGTTACATTGTGTCACAACAGTGAAGATAATTTTGATAATGTCTGCATTTCAAATCAGGTATAGTCGAGGAGAAGAAAGTCTAGTGAATGATAGTGGATGGTACAGATAGAGCAGCTAGCATGGGTAGAGTTGTAGTAAATAGATAATATACAGTAGCTTATTCTGGATTAGATGGATTCGTTTGCTGCTAAATATTTTGCCATCAACAATTTGCAGGTAATTAAGAGATTTATATTAATGCATATAGCAACTTCTTTTTATTGAGTATCCTAGTTGTGTTCAAAACAGTCAGTGTTCTAGGAAAAAAAAATGGTCACAGATCGCAAGACTAAATATACCATCACCTTGAAAATGTACGTATTAAACCTTCCATTAGAATAATTTTACATGGACAATAAAGAATTACATCATAGTTCATGTTGACTTTGATTCTCTTCTATTCAAAAGTTTAGTGACTTTAAAATTTTTTGCTAAATTATACATTTAGCCCAACGTTTCATTCAAGATAAACATGTAACAGCTGTTTCATTACTTTACATAGTAATTTGTTTATTCTAAAGATACAATTAATAAACAGAAACATTACGAAAATCATTTTTCTATAATAACTTACATTAATTTATCTTGCTAATATAATATTTATAACATAACTATACCATTTTAGTCTAATTAATTGTATATAGTTCATTTCAATTTAAATATGTGAAGTGTTAAAAGCTTCTGTATATCCAGCGGTGTAGATGAAATATACTTACAGCAATATCAAGCGATTTTACTTAAACAAATAGAAGAATTACAAATAAAAAAACAACTGCATAATAGGAAATTTGCTTAAAGAAGAGCTTTTGATATACTACTGTTTTATATGATGCTTATTTAGATGTATTCGTATGATCTTCTTTAACATTTGTCACATGTTGAAAGTGGAAAAATAATTTTCAAAAACATTTCTTCTATCACAAAAGAAATATAACTATAACATTTATGATCCTCGTTTTATCACATAAAATATAGGTAGGAATAGGTGAAAAAGAAAGATAAGCATGAAAATCTATTAGTTTAAAACATTTTCATTGTTGCCTCCCTTTGACCATTAAAGTTTTGAAGTTTTTCAGTTCAGTTTCAACAACCGTCGCTGGTCCTTCTAAAAAAAAAGAACTTGCACTTGTTATGCCTGGTATATTTTTAGCAGTAAAGCTTGTAATTACTTTGATCAATATTACATGCATTAAAATAGCTCTAAAATATACTCTTTTATTATATAAAAGATGACCCTATGACTATAATATTTTAATGATTCGCTTTGGTTTGGTACATAAACCATTGTTTTTAAATTTTTCAAATATTTTCCACTTTTTGCCATAACGTATGATAAAGTAACGTTATCTAGCAGATGAAATAGAGTTAATCTATTTCTTTGAACGTATACATTGTGTGGTCAGAGCCGCGTTTAAATTTCCCGATTTTACTCAGGAACCCATCAGAGCTGGATGGACTCAGGAACGATAGACTTACATTTCAACATGCGAGTGTTCTATCACCAGTTGGTGAAAGTATTTAGAAGAAATAAGAATAAAGAAAATGTTTACACAAGTGTCAGTCTATCTAAGAGACAAACTCCGATCTCACATTTCTATTGGAGTAGGACAACACAAGATGTAGATCTTAACGGTTGTGTCTGGTATCAGTTAAGTTTATTTGAACTTCACTTCATTGAAATTGATCATTACTAGGGTCTAGACATTTATTTATCCTTATATATTATATAGATTTCATGGCAGCTTTGTCATTTTAAAACCACCTCCATCAGTAACAAAATAAAACTAACAAAAGTTGTTTCACAACAATTTGCACATTTGATATTTAGAGAACATACTCATTGGTCTATAAAAAACAGAACAAAGTATTTTTACCTTGGGCATTTATTTTCTAATTTTTTATAATTTTGTAAACAAATAAAAATAGCAAGAAATTTGATTTGTAAAATTACAATTCATGGAAAGAATAGATCAACAAATTTGCCGACATTTGGTACCAGGAAATTATTTACAACAATAAACATATAAAGTGCCTAAAAAACATTATGGTAGATGCAAATTGTAACGGTTAAACGGTTCGAATCAATCAAAACAATTGTTTTAATCATTTAAATGTAATAAAATGTTTACAAGACAAGCATATCTCTACACAAACAGTTTACTGACGGGAAATATTCCACCATTTTGTTTGTTTACATTGTGTAGACAAGGGGAGAGAACCAACAGTTACATCAAAAAATATCTCCCCACTATAATTTCCTTCAGAGTTTGATCCACTGAGGGGGTGGTTAGAAAACCAGGCGCGATTTCCCAGCCTGTAGACCTGTGCTCCACTGGAGCCTGGACATGTACATGTTGTGTACCTGTACCTGGTGTAGGGGATATAATGCTCATCATCATACCTCTCATGTTTCTGAGTCCATTGTCCTACAGAGACCTGTTTAGGACAGCCATGAGGATGTGACACTATAACGGTCAACTTGTCCACATCATCAAATCTCAAGTATTTGTCCTTTACTTCCCTACATAAGTCATCAAAGCGCCGACACATCTTGTACAGTTCATCAACCAACTCTAAGTCACATGTCACATATTTCAACCAACACCTGTCACTCTCAATGTTTGCCCCACCATCCACCCCCCAGCCATCAAGACTGACCACTGGACTTTTATTGTCATCAAAACCCTAAACACACCTGGTCTGTCTCGCCTCACTGTCATCAAACACCACGTGTGTGGCTGTCAACACTTCAATCATTCCCCACCCTTTGCTGGGTGTGGCAGAGACTTGACACTTGGCACAACGACAAGTTCTGTCACTCTCTGTGTACTTGTTCACAAGCCACACCCTCCCCGTCCCTAACCTCATCACGTGACTTCCTCTGTCATTAAAACATGGATATGGAAATTGAGTGCCTGGGTAAAACTCTGGTCTCTCTAGACTGGTGAATTTAGTCTTTACCTGGACAGTTAGGGCTGCCAATGTTTTGATTGTCTCAGACACAAGCTCGTCGCCATGGTAACGTGAGGGGAGACAATTTGCGTTGAAATCTATAAGCGGTATAAAACCTTTGTGACCTGGATTCTTCTTACAGCCAGTAACATGTTTATGTAGATCAGCTTCTCCTCCATAGCACATCTCAGCTTCATGATTTCCTGCATGAATAGAGGAAACAAATAATTTAAACAGCCTACAAATTTAAACACTGATATAAAAGTATGCACCTATTATTATTTTGATTAGCTATACTATGTTTACACTAACACTAGATTTAGCAATCTGGTATAGATATAAATTAAACTTTTATTAACTCCTTCATCTAATGAACTATAAAATTACTTATAGTAAAGTCAACTAAATGTTATCACTAGCACAGATTTATAATTGTTTAGACTAGAGTTGTCTTATGTTTGTCATATCTTACCTGGAATAAAGACACCTGTTTGGTCACTTTTGAAAACTTTACTTGGGCTCTCACAGTATGGCACATCTAAAATAAAAAAAATTAGAAAATCATTACAGTGACAAGAAAGTTGGCATTACTGAGATAAACTCTTATGGCTTGATAGATACCCTCATAAAGTTCATAGGCAGGTATGTAAGAAAATAAATTTTAATAGAATTCAATGGGTATTGAGCATTTTGTTTTTACACTTATAAATATCACATATAGGTTATTAAGAAGTTGATTTTAAAGTATTTGAATGTTAAAAATGCCACAATAATTTATAAATTAGCTAAATTACTTAAAGATTTTGTTAAAAGAATGATTTATCATGTATCAGGCTCTACCTTCAGGTGTACTTGGTGGCTCCAATTTTCTTTTTCTCACTTTGTTTGCGGTTTTCATGGTTTGTTTTACTGTAGATATGATTATAGAACATTAATATAAAATAGTAACTAGGTTTCATAAGTGCACAAATAAAAAATGTATACAAAAAAGAATTTGTAGAATATACTTTACATCTGCATATCAACGTTTCTCTAGTATTAGAAACATGTAGTAACTTGAAATAGATTTGTTTCTTCTAAGTAGTGAAAAACACATAAAATTAATACTACAAATGAAAAAAAAAAACATGATAATTGTTGGCTATAAACATAGCACCTATGGTAATCAACTTATTATTTATTTGATATTAGCTTCTGATAAACATGTTAATAGTTTTAATTAAATGTGATTATCAAAAATTTATTTTTCTGAAGAATGAGTTATATTGGAAAATAAGACCTTAATATTGCAGCTTACATAATAAATGACCTGATTAATTTTGATACAATTGTTGGGATATTTACTAGCTGTCACTGAAAAGTGTCTACTAACCCTTGAAAACAAAAGTATCTGATTATTTTGATGAATAAAGTTAAATCATTGTCAAATTTTCAAAAGATAATTTATTTTCTCAATAGTCAGAAGTGTTAACCTAGAAAAAATATTCCAATTGATTCTCAGCTAATCAATATTCAGTTTAATTGCACTGTTTTGTAAAATATATAGTCTTAATATCCTAATCAGCTTGTTTGCTGTTAATTTTCCTGCACTATATTTAATAAATATACCTATCAAGTATTTTATTTAAAAATTGGAAATAGCAACTAAAACATCTACACTAAGTTTGCAGAAACTGTAACTTATTTAAACAAGTATAATACACAACGTGAATACTTAACAGCTTCTGTGGATACATTGCCTATATCCAATTAATTTAGAATATCCCCATGCCCAAAAGTTCAGATGAAGTTAAAACACATTTCAAATAAAAATATTTTATGAGAAGAATCTTGTTTGGTAGTAATTACAGCAAGATACCTAATTAGCCTGGATCATTAATGAGTTTAATAAAAATCAGTTATAACATTTAACTTTGAACTATTATGAACATAAAAATAGAATAGAGCATGTGCATGCAATAACAGTCGTCACATAAAAATGGTTAGTATTTCATATATATTCTCAGGCCTAAATAAAATGTATGAAGATTAACTTCTGAAAGAGAATCCATTTGTCCTTCAATATTCATTTTTTTGTAGATCTACTTATGAATAGCTCTATAGCATAGTTAATTGTTGAAACAAAAAATTGACATAAAAATTGAAAATACACCTCTATAAATCCCCAATGATGTTTATACTTATTAATGCATTAATATGCAATAATAAATTAGGCTAAAATACTACACTGTAAAATGACCTATTAGTACCAAACATTTGGTTAGGTGGTTTAGACTTCATTATACTTCATACTGAATACTTTAAAACGTTAAAAATGATACACCTACTATTATTTGTTATAGACTAATTTACTTAAATTTACTTTATTCCATGTTTAGAAACTATTTTCTTTGCTTTATTTTTATTGTATAATTATTGGTCGAATTCTGCATTTTAATTTTAACCCACACTCTTTTATATGACCATACATTCTTAGACAGAAGTTCTAAATTGGATTCAGTTCTGGAAGTTGTATAGATCTAGAATTAGATCTAGAATCTAGATCTAGATCTATATCTCTAGATTTCTAGATCCAGTTTAAAACTAGAATCTAGATCTAGATCTAGATCTAGATCTAGATTTAAATCTAGATCTAGATTCTAGATCTAGATCTAGAATCTAGATCTAGATCTAGATCTAGATTTAAATCTAGATCTAGATCTAGATTCTAGATCTAGAGTTCTATACTAGATAGATGTCTAGAATCTAGATCTAGATATGTAAAATCATAAATGTATTTGGGCCCGATAAATTAATACAATTCTTTAAATGTTTACCAAAATGATCAGTAGAATCTATTACTAAGATATGACTGTAAGATCTGCTATGAATTTTATTTTTAAGTCGGACTAACCCGAGAGTTGAAGGCAGCTCCACTAAAACAAAGTGAGAACGTCTGCTTACATATGATTGCTCGTTTTTATAAATATTATAGTATCGATAAAAAGACACGAACACTTTATCAAGTTATAACTACTCAAATTTTGTTTGCAAATTAGGATAATTTGCTAAATAAATGTCAGATATAAAAACTATCTACAAAACATAAATTGTTTTTATTTATTAACTTTGCATAATCTAATACTATTGTTATTGATGCTAGTACTCGATTTTTTCTTGGGCGTCGATACCACAAGTTTTAATTGCCACATTTTAAATCTACTGACGATTGTTTGTTGAATTCAATTTTATGTTAACCTGTATGTCTACTATTAATTATTGAATTAGGCCCTAATGTTAAAAATAATTGTAGTCGTATAAGGGTACATAAGCTGTTCAATGTGTACCTCATAGCTAGATGTTTGTTTTAACTATTGTATAAAGGCTAAATATTTGATAATTATTTATGTATTATAGCCAGAGGCGTAGCGACCCTTCTCGGCGCCCGGGGACAAACTTTCAATTTGGCGCCCCCTCGGGAGAAAATTTTCAATTTGCACCCCCCCCCCTCAAACTTTCGATTTGCACCCCCCCCCCTTCAATCTTCCGATTAGCACCCCCACCCCTCAAACTTTCGATCTGCACCCCCCCCCCCCCCAATCAAACTGCAAAACTGCCGCTAAAATGACATTTTAATTTGTTCTTACAACCCATTTTGGCGCCTCCTAAGGTCGGCGCCCGGGGACATATGTACCCCCCTGCCCCCCCCCCCCCCCCATCGCTACGCCTCTGATTATAGCTGAAGGTTGTATCATCCCTTCTGGCACATGGATCATCAATATACTCAAAACTAGAAAACTTAAGGGTACGTTATGTATTATTAAGAAAGAACATTGTTTAAGGGGTGAATAGAGGGGGTATGTGAAAAGCTCCCACTCAGGCAAGTCTCTCCCCCCCCCCCACCCCCTTTAACTAAATCAGCAGTATGATAGGTGCTTACATGTGAGGTCGTCACGTGGTTAAAGTACAAATATTCCCAACCAAGTAACAATTCGCACTAAAACTTTACCATTAAGATCAGAGGTACGGTTAAAACTGGCCGTATATTTTAACGGCATCGCTTTCTCTATCAGTCAGTAGCCTATGCTGCAAATTCAGTGTCGATCACATAATTTTGTAAAGTCCTACCACTTCAATGGTCGCATATAAGCTGCTGAATGAAGTACCATAACACCACAAGACACCCACTTTCCCTCCAAGGACAGATAACGGGGAGGGGACGGGTGGTGACGTGTTGTGCTATTCTACATCAGCCGCCCACCTACTTCACTGTATGGGATGTGAGCTGAATGCTTTAGAGCAACACAACCCTAAACTTGGGCTACGAATCAATAACTTGACTGAAAATTTTGTTTTGTTTCCTCTAGCATTTTAACATGTATATCGTTGTTTCTAGTATGTTGGGAAAAAATTTATTTGATACATCTACAATTATATCTATACATCACAAACATATACGATAATTAAATGAAAATTTTCAACAATGTTCTTCAAACAATTGCCTTTAATTCATTATCTCTAATTAATGTTAAAACTAGAAGCAGAAGAATGCAGCTAAATCAATTAAAGGACAAGAACATTTTACGAACAGTTTCTAAATTGTTGCTAAAACTATAGCTGTTATAAACTAGGTAAAATGTGTTAACTTCATATAAGAAGTGATATTTTGCACTCAAAACTAGTCTTAACCAGAATTTCTTCCAGGCATCTCTTCGGTGGGGGGGGGGGGGGGGCAAAGCCCTCCCTCCCCCTGAAAAAATTCTACCGCCCCCCCCCCCCGAACGAAATGAAATTTATATAATTTATATAGAAAATATATATGCCTACTTTTAACAGTGTCCGCCCCCCCCCCCCCCACGAAGAAAGTCTACCGCCCCCCCCCCACCACCCCGAAATGTTCAAGTGTCCCCCCCAAAGGAAAAAGTCTGGAAGAAGCACTGGTCTTAACGTAACTAAATATGGTAATCTATCGTTTTGGGTACGTAAAATCGCCCGCGACTTGTAATGTGAAAACCAGGTGACTCCTTAAATTTTAATAATTATTTCACATTTTGAGGAGGATTTATATTTTTTAAAATACAAAAATGTTTCCTTGTTTCATTTATGTACCTGTTTTTAAACAATTGAATTAAAACTTTTCAGTAATAAATGAACACCAGCGATGTTTCCAACAGATACAACCATGCTCATTTACTATAGCAGCCATTTTGTTAAAGTTTTATTTTTATAGACTTATAGCGCGAGATTCAGGCGGAAGTCATACTATTTTACAACTGGCTGCTGTTCATATAGCAAATCTTGCTTGCAGACACTGCTGTTTAAAGTTAATTTCTGGCCTATATTTATGTATTTAGCCATTGATTTAGGTTTATTATTCATTTATCTATAATATTTGACACACACATATCACAATATACTTCTATTACAGCCTTGACAATGAGGTAACGTTTTCGTACATTAATAGCCGCGGGCGATTTTACGTACCCAAAACGATAGATTACCCTAAATATAGATTAACCACTTAGAAAATAACTGTTCTTAATTTCTTTAATTTGCTTTCAGTTGTGTTTTTAATAGAATGATCCCAATTAATACAGCTATAAATATAGACCTTTATTATAAAGACTTATAAAAGTAAGACATCAACAACAAACTTAAACTCTACCTTCAGCTGCGAATAAAAATGTTTTCAAAATGGCCGTCCAGCCAGGTACTACGAAATTCTATTTATAACCTATAAAATATCCCGGTTGCCTGATTTTCCCGCTATTACTTGTGTATGGAATTTATGAAAACGCATTGGTTAAATAACGTGTGGTCTATTTGTGTCGAAAATGTTTAAGTCAAGATTATACGATGTAAAATGTACTTAAAATATGTAGGGTTAAGGCACCGTTAAGGTATTGAAAGTAGCGAAGTACCCGTGTTTAGCAAAGAACCCCCCCCCCCTAAGGGATGCCTGGTAGAAACTCTGATTACGATGCATCTCAAACAGAAAAAGGAAATGAACAAGACAATGTCTGATGAAATAGGCTAATTAATTGTATACATTCTTTTCCCCAAGCTATCTTAAATTGAAGTTACGCATAGGTGTAAGTATGTTTTCGGGGGTATGAAGAATGTTAGCAATTCAATATTTACTTTCATTTATAGGCCAACAGGGGTAGTGTTTTGCTCGTGAAAACTATCCAAATGTTTACTCATCCTGAGTAGGATAAACTAAGTTTTATTATCTTGTTTGTGTGTGTTTGAGTGTGAATGCGAATTTCAGTATTCTTTTTAGTATGTTGGTGTGTGTGTGTGCGTGTGTGTTGGAGAGTAAGAGCGTGTCTTCCTTGACCCGTATCGCTGTTTTACTTGTTCACATATTCATTTCAAATTTCGGCATTAAAATATCATAGTGTTCCAAAAAAGAGTTACACCATTTTCAGTCTTTATTTAATTCTATTTAAGGCTATCCCCGTATTAGACCTTCCATTCACCTTTATTATTTTAACCCCATGCAATCAAAGAAATGTTTAATTAACCACACATGACACACCGCCTTAATGTGATGTTAAATGTCTTGAATTTGTTTATTAAGAAATCTTTCCATTTTTCTCGTTTTTGTCAGCATTCGCGTATATGCAGCTTTTCGTTTATGTCCTACGAAAGTATTATGCATTTCTGACCTCTTAACATTTATAGGCTTTTTTTAGGTAATTTAAACAAACGCATTTTAATTGTCGCAAGTTCTTTGAGGCAATCAGCTTAAAGAAGTTGAACTAATCACACACAACTGGAGTGTTTTTTAAACGTCCAAACATACTTTCATAGATCAGTGTAGCCAAATATTTTGTTCAAATAATTACTCATACATACACACACAGACAAACACACACACACACACATACACACACACACACACACACATATATATATATATATATATATATATATATATATATATATATATATATATATATATATATATATATGTAGGCCTATATCAAGGAAATACATAATGCTCTATCTTTAGCTCCTTGGTTATTCCAGCTGTTTTCTATTAGCTTCTTACTGTGATGTCAGTATTTTAGCAAGCAGGTAAACACATTAGAAAAATACAGAAAAGGAATTAAAATAAATTACAAATTATTCGTAGCTTTGTCTTTTGGTGACTAAATTACGTTTACAAAACAGAGAATGATCAATTTTCAAAAATAATACATTACAACGGCCACGCAAGCGCCGTGTTATACTGTATCAGATCAGGAATTTCCGAAATGACGCATGGTTACCATGCTTTTTCCACTAGGTTTAAATGTGTGCTTTTGTTTCTCGAACTAATTTATACTAATTTAAATGTCTGTATTTTAAAACACTGTAACATGTAGAGCTAAATAAGTTTTAAATTAGTTTATACAGCAATTAAATATTTACAAACGTCAACGCTTTTAAAACTTAATGAGTTATATAATACTTTTTTTCTTTGAGTTTATGACAGAACCAGCAACGTTTAAATACACAAAATAGTGTCCACCAACAAGTAAAGTGCACAATGCACTCAAACATGTTATAATATAATAATAATAATACAATAACTAAATGATGTGTTGAAAAGCGGTACAAAAAATAATATTAGAATGATAATTTATCTGTAAAGTTAAATTCTTTGGTGTATTTTTATATGTGAAAATAGCTTCAATTTCTGTCACATAAAGCTTAGTGAGTGAAGGGGGGAGGAATTTGATTTCTGTCACAATAAGTGGCAGAGAGTGAGAGGAATAAAGTTAAGAAAATACGATGTTGCATTTTTGCAGTTTTTAAATTAATATTCTATGCTTGATATTTCAGACATACACCTGTCCATTTTACAGCGATAATCATGAATCAATAGTTATAATACATCATAATACTATGCGGCGACATACAGCAAAAATAAAACTAAACACGTATTATTGTAACTAAACTTAAAGCAACTGCAAAAAATGGATAATATATTACACCATAATAATTACATGTAAATATTGACAATACAATATATTATATAATATTGAAAGAGTCTTAAAAAACCTTGATTCTACCTAGGCACTTTTAACAGATTATGTCGGAATTTAAAACAATTATACATGTAGCCATGTTTTATGATACGAGGGAATTGCCTGTATGGAAACACATTTATCCGGGGTAGGTTTTGAGAATTTCACAAGTCTGTCAAGGATTTAAAACTACTTTTCTCGCCAAATTGTCATCATATATTAGATTTTTTTTTCAAATAAAGCTTATTGGTTACACAAATGCCAGGCATAAAATGAATTATAAAAACACTATACTAATTTTTGCAATTTTCATTAATTGTGAATTTTGTAATGATGACTTTTATTAAAGGCAAGAACTCGATTTCTTATTTAAATATCGATCTCGATACTAAAAGTTTCAATCGCCAAATTTTTAATCTTCAGACGATTGTGTGATAATTCAATTTTACATTAAGATTTTCTAACAGATTTTATTACAATGAAATATAATTGTAGTCACATACGGATCTATGAGCTGTTTTTGTGTATCTTGTAGTTTGAATTATTTTACAAATTAATAGTGGATATATACATCAAATTCAAATTGGAATGAAAAAATTCATTATTTCATATTCTAAAATTGGAAGATGATGTCATTGGTATTGTGCATTTTTCGTAGTTTAAACATGTAAAATGTGTCGTAATTGTCTTTTGCGTTCAGTTTATTAGAACTTCACATTATTAAAATTGATTATTACTAAACTGTTATCTATAAATATTAAACATTTGAGCTAAATTGTAATGTTGGTTTAAGAATGCTTAAAATATCGACATAATATAATACTATATAATACAAGACAAGATGTAAACAAACATTTTACAATTATACAACATACTAATGATAGAAATGTAATGAAAGTAACAAATAAACATAACTGTTTTCTTTTAAGCATTAGATTTTTATTGTGTAAATGGTTTGTGAATAAATACAAGCAAGATCAAATTTAATATAGAATTTTACAATTCATCGTATAATGATATATAGTTAGCCATTTAACCATTTTTTTTTTGCCTACAGGTGTTACGGAAAATTTTCTGAAAGTTTTAAAAAGAAAATCGCCAACCATCGACCAAGTATGTAGCAAGTTATAACGGTTAATCAGTATAAAGAACCAATGCGTTCGTTTTAATCTTTGAAAGGTAATAACATGTTGATAAGTCATGCAAGTTTTAGCACAAACAGTTTAAATAAGGTAGAAGTTGCTCTTTTATTTGTTTACACTGCGTAGATAATGGTTGATAACTACCTGTTGCATCCAGTCCATATACTCCCCACTATAGTTTCCTTCAGAGTTTGATCCACTGTGGGGATGTTGACACCACCCGTCCTCTCCCAGCCTGTAGACAGTGGCTCCACTGGAGCCTGGAACTGTACATGTTGTGTACCAGTACCTTGTCCAGCCATCTCTCTCACGTTTGTGTGTCCATTCTCCTACAGAGACTTGTTTAGGGCAGCCATGTGGATGTGACACTATAACGGTCAATTTGTCCACATCAACAAATCTCCTGTATTTTTTCCTTACTTCCACACATAAATCATCAAAGCGTCGCCATAACTTGTACAGTTCATCAACCATCTTTAAGTCACATGTTACAAAACTCAATTCACACCAGTCTCTCTGATTATCTGCCTTACCTTTCACCTCCCAGCCATCAAGACTGACAACTTGACTGTTATTGTCATCAAAACCTAAAACACACCTGGTCTGCCTCGCCTCACTGGCATCAAACACCACGTGTGTGGCTGTCCACACATAAACCTCCCCCACACTTTGCTGGGTGTGGCAGAGATTTGACACTTGGCACAACGACAAGTTTTTCTGTCATCATTTGTATACTTCAACACACTCACCAACCTCCCCGTCCCTAACCTCATTATGTGACTTCCTCTGTCATTAAAACATGAATATGGAACTTGAGTGCCTGGGTACAACTCTGGTCTCTTTAGACTGGTGAATTTAGTCTTTACCTGGACAGTTATGGCTGCCAATGCTTCGATTGTCTCAGACATGAGGTCGTCGTCATGGTAACGTGAGGGGAGACATTTATTGTTGAAATGTTTAACAGGTATAAATCCTTTGTGACCTGGGTTCTTCTTACAGCTAGTAACATGATTGTGTATTTCTGCTTCTCCCCCATAGCACATCTCAGCTTCATGATTTCCTATAAAAAACAAACAACACATTATTGAAGCAGCCAGTGAAATACTGGATGTAATGCTAAACTGCCATGTTTTGGAGCAAGCTATACTTAAGCTTTATAAACCTAGCACATTTGAATATTTAGTCACATTATATTCGTCTAGTATTATGCTGTATGTTACCTGGACAAAACACACCTGGTTGGTCAATTGTTTTATCTTTAGTCTGACGATCATAGCGTACCAGATCTGAAACATTGCATGAGTATGTTAGATTTCAACATGCAGTAAAACATAATGATACTGTCGCTATATAAATAACACAGTAGAGTCATTTAAATTTAAAAAGCTATACACTTTCTGAATTCTAAAAAATGATACAGTGTAACTATGTATTTTTTCTCTTTACAGTACAAAACAAATGTGTAACTGTATACATAGATAAGTTAACAAATACACAATTTAAACAAAAAATTAAAAAATTACATCACTTTTTCAATGAAATTTATTATGTCTTCTTACCGGTACTAGGTGACACCCATTTTCTTTTTGGTTTTCTGTAAAAGTTCCCCATGACGTATGCTGCTGATAATATAAAATATGTACCTTATAAAACTAGTAAAGGGCTTAAAGATTATCTAAGACTTTCATTCATTCAAAATATTGTTTATAGAAAATTTCAGTGTTTGCAGACAGCTTTATTCATATAACAGTCTCTGGTGATGTCAACACCTTGATAGAGTAGAAAAACTGTACCAAGTACGAACCAAATGACACACTACAGGGATTTTCACAATTTATGGTTGTTGGGTTGACTGGGACTGGTTTTTACATTAACTCTATCAAAATATATTGAATGATGAATTGACAAGATAAACATATTAAAAAATAAACGAGTAGCATTGAAGAGAGCAGCGCCTGCAGTGTTTCTTCCAAACGTTTTTCTCCGGGTGGGGGTGAGGGTGCACTTGCATTTTTCGGGGGATGGGCGGAAAAAATTTCGGGGGGGGGGGGGGGGGGCGACAGTAAGCGCATGACTACAATTTAAACAGCACTTGCTTAGTGTGAGGGTTGATGAATATCCAAGAAATGCACAACACAATTGCAGTTAGATATCACAGTCCTTTATTTCTCTATCCTTCAGTCACCAAATCAACCTGCCTTCTTTCGTGCCCAACCTTCAACTGCCCGCCGCATTCATTCCTACACACCACATTTCTCCCGCTCACAACACAGCCACTGTCACCCGACCAGTCGCTTCCCTTGTACCCTCGTTCACTCCGTACAACAACATACACGTCAACACACCCGGCCTCGCGTCACACTACAAGCTACATACACACACGCAGTGAGCCGTTCCACGTATTCACCTTTCATACACATTACATCACCACACTTAGAATGATAAAGTTTTAAAGTGGTTATTAAATATATACTAACACGTTATATTCTTAGTTTTTTCAGTGTTTTTAAAACGATTTCGTTAAAAAAGCTGTTAGAACCCTTGAAACTGATGAATCAAAATTAGAGTATATTTTAGTAGCAAAGTCGCTACTTAATTTGGTCCGACACTCTGACGTATCTATATATAAACCATGACTATAATAAGAAACATCAGCTCAACATTTAATCAGGAATTCCCCATCTGTTTTTATGTAAGCAGGCGATAACACTCCTGGTAAACAAGACTCGAAAATATTAATAATAATATACATACACGTACAAGTCACTCTTACATTTAGATTTGACTCATTAGATTACATAAACACTAGATCCACTAATAAATCATATTATCCAAGTCACATTCGGCCACTTCTAGGTGAATTGTGAAGTAGTTGGATACTTACTCGTTGTTTTATATAACTGACATATCCGCCGTTCTGTCTATAAAATAACTAGCTTTGTGCATTCGTATTATTATTGTGGAAAACTACCAGCTTAAGACCAAACAGAACGAGGTCACATTATGACATTATGTCAGAGTAATAATCCAAATATCACGTATATTAACTATGCTATCAAATGCACCTAAATTTTCACGTGGATAAAGTATGATTAACAATATATATTTATTTATTATATGCGTATTTAAAATAAATTTGTGTCAATAAAGCTCACTGAGCATTGTATACAGATCAAAACAACCGAGTGTTTTTACACTTGGAAAATTTTAAATATAACAGTGGAGAATATTGGTTATTAAGTAATCAACTAAATAGTTTAATTGTCGAAAACATATATGTAAAGGACAAGCCAAGACAAGGGGACAAGTGTCGATCGTGTGTTTTCTAATACAGGCCAGGATATAAGTAAAGTGTGTGGGGTATGTGTTGTCAAATACAGGCCAGGACACAAGTAAAGTGTGTGGGGAGTGAGTTATCAAATACAGGCCAGGACACAAGTAAAGTATGCGGGGAGTGTGTTGTCAAATACTGGCCACGAGACAAGTAAAGACTGTGGGACTTGTGTTTTCTGTAATTTGAAAACTATTACATCTTTTTATTAAATACTAGCGTACCCGTCCCCCGCGCGTTGCCGCGGGGATAGAATAAAGTCTGACGAAATATATTAGAAGGATATCACCAATGCATTACCAATCATATGTTCTTAGACGCATCACCTTGTTTTCTAAAACTGTGTTATTTAAATGTCAACATTGCCTGCGCTTGGATAATAATTATCGGGACACGGGTTTTCCTACACTACTGCATGAAAATCTTGAGTGTATATTAATCACTCACCGAAATAATTAGGTAGAACACACTTCAATGACCACCTATATGTCAGGGACGTAGAGGGGCGCTCTCAGGAGCCCCCCACCCCCCCCCCACCCCCCGATTACACTACCGCAGAGGCGCAGCGTAAGGCCCCTGGCTCCTTAAAACTAACAGGCGCCATCGTGCTCATAGGATAACCCAGCGTGCCAAATAGCATCCTGTAAACAATGATGCCGATTTCGTCATTCGCTAAAGTGACACAAATGAAGAGGATTTTTTTCTTTAACACATACAAAAATTATTTGACGTGTTTTAAACATCAGTTCGACTGATGCAATATGCTAGCGTTACTAATGGTCTATTATTAGATGCTCGGTCTCAATTTCGGCCTGGATCGTCTAATAATAGATGCTTATTGCATCATTCGCAAAGTGACGAAACTGTACAGGATTTCCTCGCGTTACAAAGTTATTTTTAGAAGCCTGTTGTAGTTTTACCGCTGAATATAGTAGTACCCCTTACTCGCTTTACAGGACGCTCGATTAACGGATGCCAAGTGCCAACTTAGTCGCTCTAAAACTCTGGGCGCCAAACCGTGTATTGACGAAAGTTGTACCCTATATGGCGCCGCCCGTAAGAAACTTTAGTTTTTTTTTCGCAGAAATATTCTCGGGAGTATTCTCATCTACTTCCTAAAGTTTCATCGTACTCGGATGAACCGCATCCGAGTTTTTTTTTTATATACCGTATATAGAGAAAAAAAATCGCTTCCCCCCCCCCCCGGTGGTGCGCCGCCCTTGCAATATTAAACAATATTTTTTACAGAACCCTACCATTGAGTGATCTAATCATCTCCCCAAAGTTTCATGGTACACGGATGAACGGTGTGAAAACGAAATTTTATAAACCTCATATAGAGAAAAATCGCAGCCGCCCGTGGCGCCGCCCTTGCGAAATTAATAAAGTTTTTTTTTTTTTTACATAACCCTTCCCTGAATTGTTCTAATCAACTCCCCCAAAGTCTCATGGCTATCATGTCACACCAAAATCGACTTATTTTTATAAACGTATATAGAGAAAAATCGCACCCTCCCGTGGCGCCGCCCTTGCGAAATTAAAAATTATTGTTTACAGAACCCTTCCATAGAGTTTTATAATGAACTCCCCAAAGTTTCATGCCTATCGGATAAACGGTGTCACTGCAATTCACTTTTATTATTTTTATATACCGTAAATAGAGAAAAATCGGACCCTCCCGTGGCGCCGCCCTTGCGAAATTAAAAATTATTTTTTTACAGAACCCTTCCCTAGAGTGGTATAATGAACTCCCCAAAGTCTCATCGCTATCGGATGAACGATGCCAAACCAAAATCGAGGTTTTTTTTAATATACCGTATATAGAAAAAAAAACAAATCGCGTCGTGTCGGGGCACCACCCCTGCGAATTTGAAATTTTTTTTTTTCACAGAAATCTCCCCATGAATATTCTCAACAACTTCCTAAAGTTTCATGGCGATCGTGTGAACGGTGACACGGCAATTCACTTTTATTATTTTTATATACCGTATATAGAGAAAAATGGCACCCTCCCGTGGCGCCGCCCTTGCGAAATTAAAAATTATTTTTGTACAGAACCCTTCCCTAGAGTGTTCTAATCAACTACCCAAAGTTTCATGCCTATCGGATAAACAGTGTGAAATCAAAATAGACTTTTATTTTTATATACCGTAAATAGAGAAAAATCGGACCCTCCCCTGGCGCCGCCCTTGCGAAATTAAAAATGATTTTTTTTACAGAACCCTTCCCTAGAGTGGTATAATGAACTCCCCAAAGTCTCATGGCTATCGGATGAACAGTGTGAAATCAAAATAGACTTTTATTTTTATATACCGTATATAGAGAAAAACAAATCGCGCCCTGCCGGGGCGCCACCCCTGCGAATTTGAAATTTTTTTTTTCTCAGAAACCTCCCCAGGAATATTCTCAACAACTTCCCAAAGTTTCACGGCGATGTGATGAGAGGTGTAGTAGTTCATAAAGGACACACAGACACACACACACATACATTGCTTTTTATATATATAGATTTTAGTAGGCGTGTAGGCCTACTGTTGTTTAGAACAAAAAGAAACACAAACTATTACATGTTTTAGCAGGATATCTGTTTTTACAAGATTTTGCTTTGTTCACAACTTCCGTTTGTGGTTTTGTGTCAAACCTTGTATCTCAAATTTGACAATTTTCTATTGCAGCTATTTCGTTCAAATTTTCTAAACATCTTTGTCATCGAGAACAATAAATGGATATCTAATTTAATTAGATGATTAACTAGTCATTAAAATTAATAAAACCGGACATAACAAGATTAAATGTTTGCGATCAATAGATTGCTAACACTAACAACACTCACTGGCAGAATGGGAGATAACTAGCTAGACACTATCACACGACCAGTCAGATGAGCTGTGATTCACGCTAAATGTTTACAATCGTAGAGCGTGGTAGAATTAGTGAAGGCTATTAAGGGCAGATAATATAGTTTTCAAACGATTTGAAACCAATGGAGCTAGCAAGATTAAGAACTACACCTCGCTTTGTCTCTGTAAATTGTGATCAAAGACGGATGCTTTTCACTGGGCAGATAATCGTATTTTAAATATCATGAGCAACTAATGGTGTTTCAAAGCAATTATTTTAGTCATGTCGACTTCATAAATTAGGAATAACTAAAATTAAACATATGTTTTTAAAAAAATATTAAAACCTTAATTGCAACAAGATTATAAATGTACTGAAAATTTAAAAAATAGAACTAATTGGCATTCTTTATTTAAAAAAAAGCCTATGTCTCACATGAGATCATTGACGTATTTTAGCTACACATTTTTACTTTCTCGTACATACGAAGTATAGAGAAAAATCTTGTAATCGTGCAAAAAAAATAATAATTTTGCAATCTTGTCCGTATGTCTGTGTGTGTGTGTGTGTCTGTGTGTAAACACGATAACTTGAGTACCGTTAAAGCTAGGTTAATGAAATTTCACATATAAGTATTTTATCAAAATCGTAGATCCTGATCAACTTTTGAGCGATTTCCGATAACTGGAAGTGGTACTTTTTCTACTTAGAATTTTTTAAAAGCCTATAACCTGAGTACTATTTTAGACAAATGAAATTTCACAAGTAAGTAAACGATCTAATTCTCTACCTTCTGTCAAATTTTGAGTAATTTTCTCTGACCAGAAGTACTAATTTACGCTATTTCCGATTTTTCAAAAAACGTATGTAAAATTATAAAGTATTAATAATATCCCGCACTATTATGCACATTTTATTAGGCGTTCACTTGGTGTGCAGTTCTTTTTTTTTTACGAGATTCTATTCTATTATAAAAAGTTTAAGTAATTAAAATGGATTACAATTATTGTCTATGTCCTGAGTTGCAATCACTCGTATTTTTATATTAGAATATTCGAGAAAGTTTGGGGGAGATCACTTTCGGCTTATTTTATAGAAGAAAGCAAATTGGTTTTTTTTTTAAATTTTCAAATCATTTAAAATCTTGTAGCTATTCGTAAAATTGATAAAGATGAATTATGAACTATGAATAGGCCTACTGACTATAATCAAGATGTTACGTTATAATGCTTTGGTTTTTAAATTTAAAATTATAAATAGGTTCTATGAGCTTTGATTTTCGTGGCACTTGGAAAAAACCCAGAAGCATAGTGCTAAATCACTTTTGGCGACTATTGATGTTTTCTCTAGATCAAAAAGTGCGTTTTGGTCATTGGTCTGTTGCTTTATCTCTAGGTAGTCGACTTAGTTGATACAGTTTTTATTTATCAGATTGTGGATGTAGTTTGATTTGCTGTGTGGGATATCTCAATAGATGTCAAGTTCATGGTTGTGAATTGAGGAGTTTAATATCCCGTAATGCGAAACAACGATAATAAATTGTGTATGAAACTTGAATTAAAGATTCTTGTAATAATAAAGTATCGTGATTGATTTTTGTTTCTAAAACACTACTTAAGCCAGTTATTTTGTAGAATGTACAACAATTATGTTTAAGGAAAAGGCGCTATAGTATTTAATGATTAGTGCATTGTACTACATTAGTTTAGAATTATTATTCTACTACGATTGAATAAAATACTAGTATTAAATTGTTTTCCCTAGGGCTAATTAGTTTTACAAATGACCTGCTGTGTTACAGTCTAGGGCTAATTAGTTTTACAAATGACCTGCTGTGTTACAGTCTACGATGGCAACTGATGTCATGTTTGGACTACCGTGATGTGTACTTTAAAGTATCATCTTAGTGTGTGTGCATGCGAGCAGGCGTGTATGTGTGTGTGCGTGCATGTATATGTAGGTGACGTGTATTTTAATGAAAAAGATCTTTAATTTAAATGTTGTAAGTTTGGTTGTCTGTGTGTGTGTGTCTGTGTGCGTGTTTGCGTGTGCGTACGTGTGTGTGTGACACATATACAAATCAAAATTTCAATATTTAGTTTTCTTTATTTTGCTAAGTTGAAAGGTAACCACAACTGGTTCAGGCTTTAGGAAGAAAACGCAGATCTGAATAAAATTAGAAATGAAAGTCAAAACGTTGTCTTGAAGTTAGAATGATGTCTTCAAGCCCCACTTCATATCGCAGCCTCCCCATCGGTCGTCAGTCTGATCCCGATAGTACTGGGTCCATTCATTGGCGATGATGCACTGGTGTGATGGAGCGTCACCACCACATTGTGAAGCGTCTCCTTCTGCTGCCCATTCATAGCACATCTGTACGGCTTTCATCCAGTATGGTGCGTTGTCAGGGACTTGAATCATCCATCGCATTTGGCATCCACCATTGCGACTGCCTGTGTCATCAAAATACTCAGGAGTGTTTTGGTTTATCGGAGCGCAGTATATTTCACCAGCATCTCCTCCGCATTGGTAAATATCGTCTTCTGCGTGCCACTGAAAGCACATCTTTACTTGATTCATCCATGCAGGGGGGTTGGTCCAATTTGTGAAGATCGCCCATTGCATCTTACAGCCTCCCCACCTCCAATCCGTCCAGTCTTTGTATACAGGGGTCATTTGATTGACGTCGGCACAAAGGTCTTGAGGAGTAACGCCGCCCCCACCGCATTGGAACCCGTCAAAGGTTCCCGACCAATGCATACATAATTTTGTTGTCGATATAAACCAATTAGGAACACTAAGGTATTCGTCAATATCGCTAGACAATGCAACAACGGCACTTTCACTGACTTCTTTGCTGTTCTTCAGATCGTTGAGTCGGCCCAAAAATGTACTGATTATGCTATTATCAGACTTTATTTTAGCTGCATAGATGAGAGACTCCAGTTCTCCAAGGTAGCTTCTTATCAAATAGTTTTTGACGGCCGTTTCCATGGATGTCATTTTTGTTTCGTTTTTGATTAAGTCACTAATGGGCTTCAACTTGCCAGAGCAAAGCCAAGGGTCGTTCTCTACTGTCGGCTGCCACTGTGAGAAACCATCAGCGTTTTGTTGGAGATTCTGGTCGCCTCCATAGTATCTACTTATTTGCTTGGTGTTCGAATTAAACGTTTCGTCCACGTTTACATTTGAGTTTAAGCCCCCAGCACTGGCAGAAAATGCTTTATTGAAGGAAGCTTTAGCATTGGTCTCGATATTGTCTTCCGTTTTGTTTAAAAAATATTCTTTCGTTGTCTCAAACAACATTCGTATATAACCATCATACTTTCCCGTTGAAAAATAATGCGTGCCGTAAACCTCAATAAATTTGTTGTAAGCGCTAGGGTTACTTTCATAGGTCCCAGTGAGGGTTGTGTCAATGTAGGTTTCGGGAAAGTTGTCTAACGTCAAATTTTCAGGTGGGTTGACATTCATATAGGTTACCCCGACAAATGACGTAACATCAGTCAAATATCTAGAATCGTTGGTGATGTAGCTCTGCATCGTCTTGAAGGAAGAACTTGCTGAGAAAGCAAATTCTCCGATATTAACGTCTAGACCTGCATTAGAACTCATGCTCTCTCTGACTTCAGTGTAGGACGTGTAGGAGGTGACTTCAGATGACATGTATCCACCGGGATCAGAATTAATTTGCCAAATCTGGTTAAAATAAAAATAACAATATGACACTTAAGCCGATTTCTCAAATATACGCTTGTCCAAATGCGACAAATGTCCGAAAGGACACTTGCCCGCATGCGACAAATGCCCGAATGCGACACATGCCCGAATTGACATATTCCCTAATGGGACAAATGCCGAATGGACACTTGCTCGAATGCGACAAATGCCCGACAGTCACTTGTATGAAGGCCGCTGGCCCGAAAAATGTTAACATGATATAAATTACTAAATAGTCAATCTTAATCAATTTAAATTTGCTATGTGATAACTAATACATTTCTAAGTAAAATGTAAGAGAAAAAAATATTATATATTAACAAGCAGGTATTATTAATTAACTGGATGTATAATATAAAATACTTTCAAATTTCGCAGAGTGAAATCTGATTTATTTACTACAAGAGTTTGTTGTGTGACACACCTGATCAGGCATATCGTACGTTACGCCTTTAGGACTCAGCCATTGCTTTTCTTGGTCACATGTCAGTTGAAAGATTGGACTCAACAAACCGTCGTCATGAGCAATGTCGAGTGGAAAAAATTCAAATTTCGAGATATCAACACCTTTGGTTATTTTTGACAGCCCAGGTGGTAAGTTGGTGCAGTTTTTAGCCGCTGCTAGCGACAAGACAACAGGGAACCATAAAAGTAAATTTTTAAACATCTCTGTGACCTGTAAATTATCAACATGACAACAAAATCATCGCTTTAATTTCCCGACGTTTAAAATAGGCCATAGCCATAGCCATAGCCATAGCCATAGCCATAGCCATAGCCATAGCCATAGCCATAGCCATAGCCATAGCCATAGCCATAGCCATAGCCATAGCCATAGCCATAGCCATAGCCATAGCCATAGCCATAGCCATAGCCATAGCCATAGCCATAGCCATAGCCATAGCCATAGCCATAGCCATAGCCATAGCCATAGCCATAGCCATAGCCATAGCCATAGCCATAGCCATAGCCATAGCCATAGCCATAGCCATAGCCATAGCCATAGCCATAGCCATAGCCATAGCCATAGCCATAGCCATAGCCATAGCCATAGCCATAGCCATAGCCATAGCCATAGCCATAGCCATAGCCATAGCCATAGCCATAGCCATAGCCATAGCCATAGCCATAGCCATAGCCATAGCCATAGCCATAGCCATAGCCATAGCCATAGCCATAGCCATAGCCATAGCCATAGCCATAGCCATAGCCATAGCCATAGCCATAGCCATAGCCATAGCCATAGCCATAGCCATAGCCATAGCCATAGCCATAGCCATAGCCATAGCCATAGCCATAGCCATAGCCATAGCCATAGCCATAGCCATAGCCATAGCCATAGCCATAGCCATACAAGCAAAGTATCATACAATTGAAATCAGTAAAAGAGTACATTACAACAGTGGCACAGTTGCCCACTTTTAGATGACTAAAATGAATCAGGGGATGCACAGAGCCTACGTGGTGTAGTTTAACCGGTGGCTCATGAGAGCACCCAGTGACACCCTTGACACATCACTTTACGGAGGGGGATTAACCAACAGTAAAGATCAAATATTGTGCATGCACTGTTTACAGTTACATAACTCAGTTATAGAAAACTAAATAAAACACAAACGGTAAAGCGTTTATAAAACCCTTCGCAGAAAGTGCTGTGTCACTTAGCTGTGTACAACTAGATTGCACAAACGCGCAACGAGTACGCTAGTATATACAAAACACTATCACAAACGAGCAACATATGTTATAAGCTAAGGCACACATATTTAGTAATGTTTTTAAAACTCACTGCTTCGATGGACTGTCGGTATGAAGTAACCTTCTATGAACAAGATTTAATGCTGCATTGTTAAATAGGTTTGATGTCACACGAGGTGTGGATACAGCAATTACAGGCCTGGCAGGTATTATATTATTTCTAACAGTTCAAGGCGAGATATTTTGCAATCCTCCTAAACCAATTGTGATTTTGCAATATGTTGCAAGACAGATTCTATTACATAACACCTATGTAAATTATACAGTTTTTACTCATTTCAATTGTATGGTGCTTTGCTTGTAATTTTTATCATTTTACATGTTTGTAAACAAGAAGTAACAGTCACATTTAATTTGTACAGGGCAACTCTTAATAAAACCAAGCAAATTATGTATTTAATTTCCTATACAAATGTTATAGTTAGAAACGTTTTGAACTATAAATCGGAATTTAAAAAATCTTTTTTTTTAAATAGCAGAATAAAGTCTTTATCAGTTACTGTGTTAAAAAACTGTTAGAGTTGTGAAAGTGAGAAGTATCAGAAAAGAATACAATAAATGTAAACAGGCTTTTAACACCTACACAAGTCAATTATTTGCCAGTCATGAAATAAAGAAATTTAATTTTTAACATCTTAACAAAGTCTTCTCAACAAAGTAATTTAGGAAGTAATTAGCTATAATAGCCTTTTTTTCTTCTTTGTATACAGCTAAATACATTGACAATAACTTAGAAAAAATGAGTATTGCAGACATTTGGCTACAGAGACTAATTCAGTACCCTTTGTTGCGATATGTTGCAATATTTAAAAATAAGCACCTCCATAGTGATCAGCAAATCGACAGTTTTTCAAAAGTGAAATTGGAAATTGAAAAAAAACAGGTTGCTTTTTTTTATAGGGAGATTATTCTAAAGGGGTGCAAAAGTTTAATGAACGTTAATAAAAAAGATGCCTCTCAAGCTCAGAGACCCACACTTTCAATCATTGTATGTAAACCTGAAGTGTTCGCCCGTGACAAAAGATAATATATATGCCTGTGAGAGAAAAATTCCTCTTGGTTCTCAACTGATTGACACAACGAAAAATAGTGCAGATGTGCATCTGACACAGTCTGCAATATTTTTATTATCTTCAAAATCTAATTTTCGCCCCGTACAGACCGAATCGGACTTACCACACCTAACCACCCACACTCTCACTTACTAAGTACCTGGCCCGAATAAGACGCGTCTGAAGTTCAACCCACCTACACCCTCATTGATGAAGCTACCTTCCAATATTACTAGCAACATTTTTAGGAGATAAGCTGTCTGCTTTATAGGTGATATACCGCTAATTGCCACCAACACGATTTTTAGTTTCCACCAGTCACTTAGCATAACTTAGACAGAAGGTGGAATTTCTTAGTTGGTCATTGCATATATAATTAAATTAGCTTAAAACCAGCTTTGCTATTAATTGCTGCAAGATGCTCAGTTAATCAATATTGAAGCTTGTTTATGACTTACTTAAATATTATATAAAAAGACACATTATTTCCAAAAAAAATCAAATGTAACATTGCCAACATGGTTCCATTAATCTTTTAAAAAGATACTTTTATTTCTTTTAATATTTTCCCAGGTTCTCGTTGCTTGTATAGATAAGATTATGTTAGAAGTTGGGATCCATAATTTGGGAATTTTTTATAGCTTTATGCAATGTTAAAAAAATGTGTGTTGAAACATTGTACTGTTGTCACAACACATAGAATTACAATTGTACTGTTGCTGTTATTCATGATTGCCTTGCATGGTATATTTCTTACAATTTTTCATTTGTTTTGGGTTTCACAAGTAATGTCGACGGCAACTTTGCTTATTATTGCATACTTGCAGTTATTATTGACTTATGGTTTGTTAAAACAATGTTCTATATTTTGTACTATATCTTTGCAGGCACATGAATATGTGCTATTTTTTCTTGCCTTACGTATAAAGGCTTATATTAAAAGTCTAACGCTGAGATTAATGTCGGTAATTGTAAAACTTCTCTCACTTTTCTGCTGTAAGATCCCCTGCTCTTAGGTGCTATAAGTTTAGTTTCACTTTGTTAATTTCACTGTTGGTTTTGTTATTCATGATATTGGATTCTGCTTGTATCAAGCCGGTTTAATAAAAAAAAACATTTTTTTAAATACGCTGCATTATTAATTATATATTTAACATTGTTACGTTGCTTGTGACTTAGTTCACGTAACATTCAATAACTTACCTGGTTTAGTTAATTAGAATTTACAGTGTGTCTGTAGTGATGTGAAGTGTATGAAAGGTGTGTGCATGGGATGGATCTCTTCGCATGAGCGTGTACACCGTGGTATTTAGCGCGAGGCGGGTGTGTTAACATGTATGTTGTACAGAGTGAACGAGGGTAACACGGGAAGCTACTGGCCGAGTGACAGCGGGCGTGTTGTGAGCGAGAGGAAGAAGCTATATAATAGTGTATATCGGTAAATGTAGATGGCAGTTTGAGATCACGATTGGAAGTGATATGTAGCTTGGCTGTGATTAGGAACAGGTAAATGTATCAGATTAAACTGAACTTAACTCAAGCGTTTTATGTTTGGTGTGTCTATATTGGTGCTACAAAGTTCCACAACCACTCCCGTGAACGCTTTCACACTACCCGTGTTTTAGCATACAGGGCAATTGAATAGTCGAATATCTATATGACTTAAAATAATCCTGTCCATGATGTAGTTCCACATATCAGTTACCTGCTATATAACTTTTTTCCTGTCGTGACTTAGCTCTCCTGTCGTTAGACCTTACCTATTGATATGATCAGCCACGGAAAAGTAAACTATACATTATTATATACTACATATTTTTCTTTGCCGGCCGTAAACCTAAGGGTCAGAGAGAAAAAAAAAACAATATCGAAATATCGAATTACTAAATTTTTTAATAAAATATGAACAGCTTTTTTAAGGTGGAATTATATTTTTGAATAACGTTATGTAGGTATGGTTAGCTTTGATGATGCCGATGCTGTGATATTACATTCTATACAAGTAAGCCAGGCTACATTTCCACAATTTTAACGTTTACTTTATTTGGTACACTCACTACCAACATCATCTTGATTGGTACAGAATACATAATTATACACTTAGAAGCAATGATGGAGTAAAATAAAATAGTCAATGGTGATGACTTAAGACTGCTAATACGAAAGTCACGTGTTCAAATCAAAGGCTCTTATCTAATGAGCACCAGGCTCAAGCAGAATTTCTTCCAGGCATCCCTTCAGGGGGGCTCTTCCCCCCCCCCCCCCCCCGAAAATTTTTTACCGCCCCCCCCCCCCCCCCACCCAAACGAAATGAAATTTATATAATTTATATAGAAAATATTTACTTTTAACAGTGTCTACCCTCCCCCCTAAACATTTCAAGGGCCCCCCCCCCCCCCGGAGAAAAAAGTCTGGAAGAAACACTGGGCTCAAGCTAGAGAAACAAAGACATAGCGCTAACAACATCATTCGCTCTTACGCCGAGATCAATGAACCACACAACTCTACTTCATCTGTCACATGTATCTTGTTCACGAAAGGGAAAAATCGATGAATCTCGAGCACTCTTTCTGGGCGAAGTACTAATCTTCTACTTTTTAAAATAAAAATTTATTGATAAAGGTATACAAAAAAGTTTCATTCCGTCCTGACCGTTTGACTTGTTCTTGAAATCGTGAAAGTGGCAAAAGGACAAAGATGTTTTCCTTTTAGAATTTAGTTTCTGTTTATGTACAATTTGTGAAGATTACTGATAGGACCATCTAGACCTAAGCATCTAAATTAACACTTTTATAGGACAACAATTTGCACACATTCATAAAGGTAATAAAAAAAAAAGATTAAATATGGCATAAAAAAGTAAGAAATTAAAAATTGTTTAAAAAAAAACAAAAAAACCTATCATTCTATTTAACGATATTGTTATGTAATAAAATCTTATAAAAACAGTTTAATGATGGGAAATGTTCTGTCATTTCATTTGTTTACATCAAGTAGAGAGGTGAGTGAACAGTTACATTAGTACATATATTCCCCACTGTAATTTCCTACAGAGTTTGATCCACTGTGGGGATGGTGATGAGACATCCAACCACCACATCCAAGCCTATAAACAGTCGCTCTACTGGAACCTGGACATGTACATGTTGTGTACCAGTACCTAGTCCAGGTGTCATCAATCTCATGTCTGTGTGTCCATTGTCCTACAGATACCTGTTTAGGACAGCCATGAGGATGTGACACTATAACGGTCAACTTGTCCACATCATCAAATCTCCTGTATTTGTTGCTAACTGCCCTACATTGATATATAAAACGCCGACAAATCTTGTCAAACTCATCAACCAACTCTAAGTTACATGTTACAAAACTCAACCGACACCAGTCTCTCTCAGTGTCTCCCCCACCAAACATCTCCCAGCCATCAAGACTGACCACTGGACTTTTATTGTCATCAAAACCTAAAACACACCTGGTCTGTCTCGCCTCATTGTCATCAAACACCACGTGTGTGGCTGTCAACACATTAATCTCCCTCCACACTTTGCTGGGTGTGGCAGAGACTTGACACGTAGCACAACGACAAGTTCCCCTCTTCTCAATTCTTTTGTCCACACGACACACCCTTCCCGTCCCTATCCTTATCACGTGACTACCTCTGTCATTATAACATGGATATGGAACTTGAGTGCCTGGATAAAACTCTGGTCTCTCTAAACTGGTGAATTTAGTCTTTACCTGGACAGTTAGGGCTGCCAATGTTTTGATTGTCTCAGACACGATCTCGTCGTCATGGTAATATGATGGGAGACAATTTGTGTTGAAATCTTTAAGAGGTATAAAACCTTTGTGACCTGGATTCTTCTTACAGCCAGTAACATGTGTGTGTAGATCAGCTTCTCCTCCATAGCACATCTCAGCATTATGCTTTCCTTCAAGAACAAAAAAGCAAAACATTATTTATATATCCAAGGAAATGTTACATTATGTAATGTTAATTTGCATTTAATTTGAATATTTTTTAACAGAAAACCATTAAGATATTAAATCTATTACATATTTATGTTTTCGTTAAATATATTTACATCTTTATAGTGTAACTTACCTGGAAAAAACGCACCTGGTTGTGCAATTACTATATCTTTACTTTATAATAGAAGATTGCCATATCTGAAACAGTTTGTGGGTATATCACATTGCAATCCGGAAGTAATACATAATGATATTATCTGCTGTTTAATTACCTGACCATTTTTAAGGACTTAAAATTACATTTCTTCTTAACTATTTTTGGGGGGATTTTTGCTAAAGTTTCCAAAAGGGTTCTCTTAGGCAGCTGGAGTGATTCAACCTGAAAGGTGAAAAACCAAACTCAAATAGTGCACGTACTAGATTTTTGTTGAGGGTAATTAGAAATAGCAAAAAGTACTACTACTGGTAAACGGAAATGTCTCAGTCCAGTAAGATGGGCTTAAAGACCTAAATTGACATACAATTCTCGATTTAATTATAAACTAAATAACCATTTATTAAAACATATAATTTGTACTGAAGTCTAAAGGCCTATTGTTTTCCTGAGAGGATTGACAATTTGCTATTTGATTTTTCATTTGTGAGGCGTAATAAGTCGATAGGCCTCTATATTATAAGAGGAGAGTAAGGAGAAGCTGTGACAGAGTTAGGTGGAACAGAGCATTATTACGGCTATGATTGTTTCCATTTTTTATGTTGGTAGATTGTCAATGTACAATAAAACATACAAATGCAAGCGAAGATTTATTAAATAACTTCCTTCCTGTGCTAAAAAAAATCTATAGTTGAGCTATACAGAAAAATGCATACAAAACATTATTTAATATCTTCACAAGACTTTGGACATGGTCATCATTTTCTTGATCCTAACTATACCATGGTTAGGATAAAATGTGTATTCATGTTGCGATGTAAGTGAATTATGTGTTAATATTTTGTACTAATTTGATTTCAACGAATATTTGAGTAAAATTATGCCAAAAGTTAGCTTTGTTGAAAAGTGGCACCAGGTGTCCCTTCCTCAGCCCAGCCGATCAGTAAGCCCCCATATAGATACTAGGCATGCTGCCCAGCTTCGCTTAGGCTTTCGAAAACATTGAGAATTTGTATGCATAATTAATTCACCCGAGGGTCGGTCTAAGACCTCAGGAGTTATGAAGAAGTTCCTACGTGGACATTCTTTTCGATTTATAGCTCATATAAGGCGCCGGACAGTCGAGGTAAGTTTTGACCCCCACATCGTAGACTTTTCGGCCAACCGGCCCCCGTGTTCTGTCGCCCAAAGGCAAGATCCTGCCAAATTTGAAGCTTCTGCGGCGCCGTGAAGTGCCCTATCGGGCACCCGACAATTTTGCTTTGTATATTGTAGAGGTTAGCAAATTGCATAGGTAAACAAAGATTTCAATAAAGTAATTAAGGCCTGAAATACCTTAGTATGGAATTGTATTATTTGAATAGATTCTAGATCTAGGTAGGGTCTACATCTGTGTAAGTCTAATTTTTCCGTAGATCTAGATAATCTAGATCTAGATCTAGATCTAGATCTAGATCTAGATCTAGATCTAGATCTAGATCTAGATCTAGAATATCTAGATCTAGAATATCTAGATTTAGAATCCTAATAGAATTTCTTTTTAAAGTTTAGCCCATGCAAAATTGTATTGTATAAATTTTATAGCGTACGTAGATCTAGCTAATATTTGTATGAAATAGTTCATTTCTTTTTATTCTATACTCGGAAGATGACGTCATCAATTTCGTGCTCTTTTTTAGTGTAAACAATAAGCGACGCCATTGTTAAATGCGTTCTTGTCCCAAGTTTAAAGACATTTCCGGTTGCATAATTAAAATTGTTTTTCTACATTCGAATACGCCTTTATTTTTTTTATTTTTCTTCTTAAAATAAAATTGTGGTTATACATTTAAAACATCTAACATGTTATTTTTAATAAAAGTCCGTATAAAGTTCTTCATATATCGCTGCAGTTTCTGATGTGATGTCCGGCGAAAATATTTTGCGGACAGAGAGAGAGAGAAGTGCGCACATGGGCCATTATATATTAAGATTACAATTCACAGACGCAATCAACTTTATCATTCTCTAAAGATATCATGGGTCGCAAGTACATTTGAAAAACAACAGCGCCGTATGCAGACCAAAGTATAATCTTTGTTGTTGTTTTAAAGGTATTGAATATAGATATGGTGAGGCATGTGGCAGTGAGTCCTTTACCAAACGTCTTTGTAACTATAACCTGAGCGATTCATTAGAATTATTTTTGCATGCTTTCCGTGATTGTTTTCACTGACATTGGTGAGCAACAGTAAGGTATAAAAGGGGAAAGATTGGCGTGTGATCTGTGCCACTGAGTCCAGTGTAAAAGTTTGAAGTTTTTTTTTTTTGGCAGAGATTTTAATTACACGATTACACTATATAGAGTACATATCTTCAGACTCAAAACAGGCCACAATAGACAAAAACAGCACTTGCATAAAAAATTAAAATTGGGTATGGCGAAACTTGCCCATGTGGCATGCCCCGGAGAATACAGAGCACGTACTTCACGACTGTTCCTTATATAGCCATGCGCGATTTAAGCACTGACCCCTATACACCCTACTGACGGAAAAACTATATGGGGTACCCGCAGAACTGGGACCGCAGTCCATTTCATGCTCGAAGTTGGACGTGTTGTTTAAATTCTCCAACATAAACTAAATTAAGGACGAAGAAGAAGAAAGAAGAATATATAGTTCAATTAAATTGGTGAAAAAGTCGTGTAGATAAAACGTAAGTACGCTCCAGTTCTATGTTATACTTATTAAAGGAACTCACATCACTGTGAAAGAGGATACATGATCGCAGAAAATAAAATATCCAAGACAAAATATGTCATAGACAAATGATCTCAGGACAAATATCCCCGATAAAATGTCTTATGGACAAATGATATCAGGACAAAAGATTTTTTTGTCGTGGAATCAATCACATGCAAAATACCTTGTGACTGATAAAATTTGTAAACGTCTAACATTCGCAATTATGTACCTAGCAGGCTAGTAAAAGACCATAAACAGCCACATAGTTAATGCTAAGACTTCGTCAAAACTGTAGCAGTCACATTTGAAGCAAAAATTTAGTCATAACTGAACAAATCATCTTCAATGTAAGACTTGTCTACACGTTAGATTTGAAGAACATGTGATACAGGCACAAATGGCTTCGTACGTGTAAGTGGAGTAAGCTGCTCCTGGCTACCCAGAAATAGGTCTCAAAAAGTAACAAAACTAATAAAATCCTAAATAGCTGCCTTAGAGAGATTGTCTACTTCTCTTAAGCTTTTCAATTTATTTTTTTAAAAGAATAGCCTAGCGGAGGAGAGCTAGAGCACATATCTAATAATCTGAAAGCATCAGATTCAAATTCAAGAGAAGTCCGTAGAGCATGCCCGAATTCACCAAAGTAATTTGAATCTAATTCACGTTATAGAAAAATTAAAAGCGCATGTGGAATCGACTGACGACATCTGTCGAGGTCACATGAACTGTCAGATTCTAAAGGGTGGATACATGAGACAATAAAACTACTTTATAACTGTAATTACCTTGTGTTATTGATATCCGTGGATCCATTCTGAAGTTTAAGTTTCAATGTTTGTAAAAAGTTTTAAGTTTATCACAGACTGAAGGTCTCTGGTGATGTCAACACCTAGATAGCGTAGAAAAACTGTGCCAAGTACGACCCGAGTGAAACACAACAAGGACTCTCCAATTTGAGGTTGTTGGGTTGATTGTTTTATACTCGCTAGTTACAGTATAGGACTGCGTGCTACAGCACATGATTGATGATGGTACCTTGTCTAGTAGTTTACTCACGTGTGAATGTATATCTAGACCAGAAAGTAAGGTATTCTTGTTTATTTTTACATTTGACTTTGCAAAGTGAAAGGATACTGCGCTATAATTTAATGTTTAGTTTATGTAGAAATGCTAAATAAAACGTACGAGTTATAATTAAAGGACAACAATTCAAAATGAATGTTTTAGAGTTACAGCAGGGTAAAATAGATTTACAAATGCTAACGTAAGCAAGCAAAATGGAAATAACTAATGAAAGAAATATTCATTTAAATAAAATACTACCTGGTCAGTTGTGAGCGATTGACTGCTAGCACAAACAGTACCGAGTACAGATCAAACAGTGCTATTTACCTGGGTACAGCAAACCATCTGGGGAAAAAAAAATCAAGCAGGAGAGAAACCATTCAGGAAAATGATCTGAACCTTAAAAACTGATAATCTACGATTCTGCAGTTAAAACGATACGCCACTTTATTACTCGATTATTTCAACTGTATCCCCATCAACACGGATAACTAAATGAGCCACACTACACCCAGCCATACTACGCCCAGCCACACTAGCCACACTACACCCAGCAACACTACACCCAGCCACACTAGCCACACTACACCCAGCCACACTACACCCAGCCACACTACACCCAGCCACACTACACCCAGCCACACTACACCAAGCCACGCTAGCCACACTACACCCAGCCACGCTAGCCACACTACACTCAGCCACACTACACCCAGCCACACTACTTCCAGCCACACTACACCCAGCCACACTACACCCAGCAACACTACACCCAGCCACACTAGCCACACTACACCCAGCCACACTACACCCAGCCACACTACACCCAGCCATACTACACCCAGCCACACCACACCCAGCCACACTACACCCAGCCACACTACACCCAGCCACACCACACTCAGCCACACTACACCCAGCCACACTACACCCAGCCACACTACACCCAGCCACACTACACCCAGCCACACTACACCCAGCCACACTACACCCAGCCACACCACACTCAGCCACACTACACCCAGCCACACTAGCCACACTACACCCAGCAACACTACACCCAGCCACACTACACCCAGCCACACTACACCCAGCCACACTACACCCAGCCACACTACAAACAGCCACACTACACCCAGCCACACTACACCCAGCCACACTACACCCAGCCACACTACACCCAGCCACACTACACCCAGCCACACTACACCCAGCCACATTACACCCAGCCACACTACACCCAGCCACACTACACACAGCCACACTACACCCAGCCACACTACACCCAGCCTCACTACACCCAGCCACACTACACCCAGCCACACTACACCCAGCCACACTACACCCAGCCACACCACACCCAGCCACACTACACCCAGCCACACTAGCCACACTACACCCAGCCACACTACACCCAGCCACACTACACCCAGCCACACTACACCCAGCCACACTACACCCAGCAACACTACACTCAGCCACACTACACCCAGCCACACTACACCCAGCCACACTACACCCAGCCACACTACACCCAGCCACACTACACCCAGCCACACTACACCCAGCCACACTACACACAGCCACACTACACCCAGCCACACTACAGCCAGCCACACTACACCCAGTCTCACTACACCCAGCCACACTACACCCAGCCACACTACACCCAGCCACACTACAGCCAGCCACACTACACACAGCCACACTACACCCAGCCACACTACACCCAGGCCCACTACACCCAGGCCCACTACACCCAGCCACACTACACCCAGCCACACTACACCCAGCCACACTACAGCCAGCCACACTACACACAGCCACACTACACCCAGCCACACTACACCCAGGCCCACTACACCCAGCCACACTACACCCAGCCACACTACATTCAGCCACACTACAATCGGTTCAACAACACCCAGCCAAACTGCGTGCAAGTCATGCATGACTGTATGACCTACACGCCCTGTATGCAAGTATGACATACATGTAATGTAGGACTAAATAATCATAAATGCATTTATGATCTATCGTTCCAGTATGCATGTATAAACTACACGTAATGTATGCCCTTTACTATTATAGTTTAATGCAATTAGGTTTCATTGTCAGCGCAATTTAAAAGTTTACTGAAATGGATTTAGAGATTTTGTGAAACATGTATATACAAATTGAAAAAACCCACATCAACAGGTTAGAAGTTACATTTCAGTTCAAGACCAGTTCATCGAACGGTATACTTCTGTGTGGAAAGGTGAAAGATAGGAAGGAGAAGATGATTGCCATCTATCTTAAGAACGGTTTACTAAACTACAAGATCTTCTGTCCAAATAGGGGCGCTGAAATATATATTCCAGCTAGAGCACATGAACAGAGATTGAATGACAGCATATGGCACAAAATAATCTACAGGGTGAGTAGTGTTTGTCAGTAGGAGAGTTAATCAAGTAGCAGATTGTTGCCATTTTTAGAGGTTCTGTTAATTTTTTTTAAAAAGACCCAACACCTCTCTGTTTCCGGAAGATTCTTTTATAGATGGTTTGCTATCTCTCGCTAACTAGCCTCAACTACCCCGAGTAGACCTATCGATTTCGAGACTTCTTAGGCGTGTTTCCCTCCCAGCTACTTACTTATTTGTTTTAATGTTATACTTAACCAACAATGTCCTTCATGTTGCGTTTAGTTACATTAAAAAATGTAATTCTTGTTAGTGCTGTTGACTTTAAGTTGAAACGTGTGTGTTTTATTTTCTTATACAACCAAACGGTGTGGGAACTTGATACCGAGTACAATAACATGTCTCCGTGTAGGCTACCCATCTTGGCACTATTATATTTATAGCCACTTAAATAATCTTTCTGTAGGTTTAAAAGACACGATTTGATGCGTTCATTGGTGCTGATACGGTAGCATCTCTTTGGTATTGTTTTTATTCATATCTATAACGTTTGCAACACACATTATGGCTCTGAATATAGTTAAGAAGAAAGACAACTATGATATTTTATTGTGGGATAAATATTTTCATTGTTACTTCCCTTTGGCCACAAAAAAAGAGGTAATATATTCCATTATTGAGTATACCGATATTCAATACGTTTTTAAAATGTACTATTGTTATATTGCGATGTTGCTTAGAATTTTCAAACTGGTTATACATTTTACCTCCAAATACTGCACTTAGTGTAATAGCATTGTTTTAAGTCTTATCGTTAAACTATGTCTGATTTGCTACTTAGAAGCTGATTTGCCTACCATGAGTCTAGACACGTTGCTGTCTTTCGCCATCACTGGCTACAACAAATCTTCTCATTGCCAATTAGGCCTTTCTTACTAGCCTATGGCTAAGGTATACTACGACCTGATTATACTACATGTTAGATTGTGTCACAACAGTGAAGATAATTCTGATAATGTCTACATTTCAAGTCAGGTATAGTCGAGGAGAAGAAAGTCTGATGTAGTGAATGATAGTACAGCTAGAGCAGCAAGCATGGGTAGAGTTGTAGTTAAGGAATAATATACAGTGGCTTATTTTGGATTAGATGGATTCGTTTGCTGCTAAATATTTTGCGATCAACAATTTGCAGGTAATTAAGAGATTTATATTAACGCATATAGCAACTTCCCTTTTATTGAGTATCTTAGATGTGGTACAACAGTCAGTGCTCTAGGAAAAAAACAATTGTTACAGATCGCAAAACTTAATATACCATCACCTTGAAAACGTATGCATTTAATCTTCCTTAGGAAAATAATTTTACAAGGATAATAAAGAATTACATTTTAGTTCATGTTGAATTTGATTCTCTTCTATTTAAAAGTTTAGTGACTTAGTTTAAAATTCTTCGCTAATTGATAAATTTAGCCCAAAGTTTCATTTGAGATAAACATGTAACAGCTGTTTCATTACTTTACACAGTCATTTGTTTACTTTAAAGATACAACTGATAAACAAAAACGTTACGAAAATCGTTTTTCTAAAATAACGTACATTGATTTATCTTGCTAATATAATATTTATAACATAACTAGGCCTATACCATTTTAGTGTAATAAATTGTTTATTTCTATTTAAATATTTGAAATTTGTAAATAAGCTTTTGGTTACCCAGCGGTGTAGGTGAAATATACTTATAGCAATATAAAGCAGTTTTACTTAGAGAGATAGAAGAATTAAAAATTAAAAAAAAAAACAACGGCATAAAAGGAAGTATGCTTAAAAAAGATCTTTTAATATAGGTGCCTACATATTACTTTTTTATGGTGCTTATTTAGACGTATTCGTATATTCTTCTTTAACGTGTTGTCATATATTAAAAGTAGAAAAAAATTAAAAATGATTTCTTCTATTACAAAAGATATATAAATATATATCATTCATGATCCTCAGTTTTACCACATAAAATATCGATAGGAATATGTGAAAAAGAAAGATAATCATACAAAAAAACTATTATTTTAAAACATTTTCATTATTGCCTCCCTTTGACCATAAAAGTTTTTCAGTTCAATTTCAACAATCATCACTGTTCCTTCTAAAAAAATTAAAGAACTCGCACTTGTTATCAGACCAAATGCCTGGTATATATTTTTACCAGTACAGCTTGTAATTACTTTGATCAATATTACATGCATTAACATAGCTCTAAAATATACTCTTTTATTATTTAAAAGATGACCATATAACTATAATGTTTAAATGATTCTCTTGGGTTTTGTACATAAACCATTGTTTTAAAAATTTTCAAATATGTACCACTTTTTGCCATAAAGTATGATAAAATAACGTTATCTTTAAAATGTGAAGGTCAATCTAGCAGATGAAATCTATTTCTTTGAATGTATACATTGTGTGGTCAGAGCCGCGTTTAAATTTCCCGATTTTACTTAGGAACCCATTAGAGCTGGATGGACTCAGGAACTAGAGACTTACATTTCAACATGCGAGTGTTCTATCGCCAGTTGGTGAAAGTATTTAGAAGAAATAAGAATAAAGAAAATGTTTACACAAGTGTCAGTCTATCAGAGCGACAAACTCCGATCTCACTTAACATTTCTATTGGAGTAGGACAACACAAGATGTAGATCTTAACGGTCGTGTCTTGAATAAGTTTAGCTTCTTTAAAATTCTCTTCATTTAAATTGAACATTACTAGTAGGTTACTTATCCGTATTTATTATGCTACCTCTCAGCTTTGTCGCTACATTGAATTCGGATTATTTTAAAACCACCGACATCCTGACGGAAATATTGACATCAGTAACAACAGTTGGTTGACAACAATTTGACACTTTATAATTAGACAACATTATAATTAGTCTGTAAAAATAAAACATAACTACGTTTTTTTTAACTTGAGCATTTATTTTCTAGTATATAATAATTTTGTAAACAAATAAGAAGAGCAAGAAATTTATTATATAAAGAGACAAATCACGGTAAGGCTAGAACAACAATGTTGCCGACATTTGTTACAGACAAAATATTTACTACATTAAACAAGTAAAGTGCTTAAATTACATTGTGGTAAATGCAAATTATAACGGTTAAACGGTTTAAATCAATCAATAGATTTGATTTAGTCATTTGAATATAATAAAATGTTTACAAGACATGCAAGTCAGGGGGCAGGTACACCCAGAATCATTGAAAAATCGTTTTTTTCGAATATTGTTGTATGGTGAATGTTATTTTATTCAGAATCCATTTCTCTATCCGTCTGTATGCATTAATTTGACCTGAGTGAAGTAGTTTTTTAGTTATTAGCTTCTAAAGTGGGTAGGGGTAGTCCGTCAGAATGTAAAAAATAGGGAAAATGTCGGACGGCAAGCCTTTTACAATACTCGGAAACGAACGATATAATAATAAATATAAACAATAAACACTCCCTTTACTATTAGAATAATTAGCTACTCCCTATTTCAAAATAGATCTACTTCCTATTAAATATTTTTATTATTTTATACTTGGAATAATGGCACATTTCACGGTTGAGGTATTAAAATTTACTAAAACTAAACTAGTATAGAAAGTGAGTTTTCTAAGTTATTATATGCAATCTACAGCTAGTGAAACTAGAAAAAGACATAGATTATGTTTATGTAAAATAAAACAGACTACCTTCTTGCTGACTAACAGTAATAGTAATAAAAATAAATAAATAAAAAGTTTGTTTACATTTGGTAACCAGGTGGACACACCCACAAAGTCAAAACAAAAAATATAATATACATTGATGCAGACTCAATATTCTACTAAATAGAATGATACATAGGAAAAGTACTTCTCAATGGTGATTCTGAATAAAACAAAACTAAATATTAAAGTCAATCATCTGGAAAATTATGTATTATGTAGATAGATAATGTGATAATAAATTAGTATAGACAGCGATTCTCTGAGAAACTATTTCATCGCACTTGTTGAAATGAAAGAAAGGGGCTAGCCAGTTCATGCATATTTAATTGTAATAATACAAAATGAAACAGATAATCTGGTTGTTTCTAAGCTTATCCTCTCAGTTGTTGGTATTTTTTAAAAATATTGTGAACAGATGAACTGCATTTGTGATGCAAAGCTGAGGCGCGGAAAGGTCAGATTAGTTTTTTTGCCTTATAATGGACCTGCATAAAGTAAAAACACCAATGCCAATGGTCATATCATATAGAACACATTATTACCTCCTTACAGAATTCATTGAAGCTGTAAGACCAGTCTGGAGAAGTCCTTGCTAAGACATGGGAGGTAACAAATTGACTCAATAGCTACACCCACAACCAGAATGAGTCACTCAGCGACATGATAGGGAAGTAATTCCAAAAGAAAAGAATCATTCTGTAATAATTGGAGACTTCTATAGCAATGGCAGAAGCTATATTTAGTTATGGAACACTATTCTGATGGTTTGCTGAGGGTGATAGACATACATCCAGGACAACTCTGTTAGAATTCTGCAAAACCGCCGATGTGTCGTATGTTACAAAAAACAAAAAAAACAGACATTTTGGGCTTTCAAGACTCTTTGTCAGGTCAGAAAGCACTAGGAATTAGGTGCTGAGGAGAAAGAATCTGAAAACAGTGCCATCCTTACTAAGCTGGAGTGTATAGCCTGTTTTCATGGAAGAAAATCGACTTTTTTTAGTATAGGAAAAGTTTGCGAAAAACGACATGTTTGCAAATTGTCTTCCAGCTATTTTCCATAATTATTGTTCGATTGTGATAAAACTTTGCACACACATTCCCTGATATAGTGGCTATAGTATGAATCAAAATCTTTTACCTAGGTATTATACTTTTTTAGATATGTAGGGCTATGTTCTGCTGTTTTCTCAAAATGTTAGCACATTTTTCAAATTTGTGTCATGGACAAACCATAATGGTTAGTAACATGAGACTGGTTCATACCATAGCCATACATGTCTTTTAGATGCATTGAAAGTGTTACAGCTGTGTACTTGATACTTTGGTTTAAATTATTTCTACAGTTGGGGTCATTTTTTTAATATTGCGGATGACTTACATTTTAAAATTATTTTAAAAAAAAATCTTTACTCCATATATAAACTTATTTCCTTACATTTGCCATATAATAGACTATGTAAGCTATACTGGTACCAAATTTGGCATCTGTAAGTCTAATAGTTTTTTTTGGTAAATTTTTTAGTAAGGTAACCATGTTCTGGGTGTATCTGCCCCCTTTTATACAATCAGTTTAATGACGGGAAAGGTTCCGCCATTTTGTTTGTTTACATTGTGTAGACAAGGGGAGAGAACTAACAGTTACATCAGTCCCACAAAAGCTCCCCACTATAATTTCCTTCAGAGTTTGATCCACTGTGGGGATGTTGATTTAACCACATGCCATATCCCAGCCTGTAGACAGCCGCTCCACTGGAGCCTGGACATGTACATGTTGTGTACCAGTACCTGGTCCAGGTGTCATAATCATCATCATCATCATCATCATAATACCTCTCATGTTTGTGTGTCCATTGTCCTACAGAGACCTGTTTAGGACAGCCATGAGGATGTGACACTATAACGGTCAACTTGTCCACATCAAAAAATCTACTGTATTTGTTCCTTACTTCCCTACATAGATCATAAAAGCGCTCACACATCTTTTCCAGTTCATCAACCAACTCCAAGTCACATGTTTCATAACTCAACCAACACGTGTCTCTCTCAATGTCTGCCTCATCCACCTCCCAGCCATCAAGACTGACCACTGGACTTTTATTGTCATCAAAACCTAAAACACACCTGGTCTGTCTCGCCTCACTGTCATCAAACACCACGTGAGTGGCTGTCAACACACGAACCTCTCCCCACACTTTGCTGGGTGTGGCAGAGACTTGACACTTGGCACAACGACAAGTTCTGTCACTCTCTGTGTACGTGTTCACACCAAACACCCTCCCCGTCCCTAACCTCATCACGTGACTTCCTCTGTCATTATAACATAGATAAGGAACTTGAGTACCTGGGTAAAACTCTGGTCTCTCTAGACTGGTGAATTTAGTCTTTACCTGGACAGTTAGGGCTGCCATTGTTTTAATTGTCTCAGACATGAGGTCGTCATCATGGTAACGCGAGGGGAGACAATTTGCGTTGAAATCTTTAAGAGGTATAAAACCTTTGTGACCTGGATTCTTCTTACAGCCAGTAACATGTTTGTGTAGATCAGCTTCTCCTCCATAGCACATCTCAGCTTCATGATTTCCTACAGATATAGGGGAAACAAATTATTTAGCCATCCTAAAATTTAAACACTGATATAAAATGCACCTATTATTATTTTGATTAGCTATAGTATGTTTACACTAACACTTGATTTAGCAAGCTGATATAGATCTAGATATAAATTAAACTTTTACTATACCCTTCATTTAATCAAATATAAATTTACTGTGCTAAAGTCATCTACATGATTTCCCTAGCACAGATTTATAATTGTTTAGACTAGAGTTGCCTTATGTTTGTCATATCTTACCTGGAATAAAGACACCTGTTTGGTCACTTTTGATAACTTTACTTGGACTCTCACAGTATGGCACATCTTAAATAAAATAATAAGAAAATAAAACATACATTACTTTATAATTACAGTGACAATAAATGTGACATTACTGACATAAACTCTTACAGTATTATTGATACACTCTCATAGTTCATAGTCATGTATGTAAGAAAATACATTTCCATAGAATTTATTGGGTATTGAACATTTTGTTTTTACACTTATAGATATCACATGTAGGTTATTAAGGAATTGATTTTTAAACTATTTCAATGTTAAAAATGCCATACTAGTTTTTTAATTAGCTAAATTAAATATTTGGCCAAAAATATGATTTAACAATTATCTGGCTCTACCTTCAGGTGTACTTGATGGCTCCAATTTTCTTTTTGTCACTTTGTTTGGGGTTTTCATGGTTTGTGTTACTGTAGATATGAAAAAAGATCATTAATATCAAATAGTAAATAGGGCTTAATAAATTCAGAATTAACTTTACATCTGCAGATAAAAGTTCATCAAGTTTAATAAACATGTAGTATTGTAACTTCAAATAGATTTGTTTCTACTAAACAGTGAAAAAGCTACCTAAAATATATACCACAAATAAAAACACTGTTGATAATTTTTTTGCGTATAAACATAGCACATACAAGCTTATTATTTATTTGATATTAGCTTTTGATAAAGATTTTAATAAATTATTTGTGATTTTCAACTATTTATTTTTCTTAAGAAGGAGTTATATTTGAAAATGAGACCTTAAAAATGCAGAATAAAATTACCTGCTTAACTGTTATACAGATGTTTGGATATCAACCAGCTGTCACTTACAGTTGTCCACTAAACCTTGAAAACAAAAGCAGCTGATTATTTTCAAGGAAACAATATTCATCCATGTTACTTTAAAAAAAATAATTTATTTTAATTAAAGTCAGAAATGTGAGCCTAGAAGTAGAAGAGCAAATTTAAGTTAAATCTAAGCTAAACAATATTGCGTTTAATTGCAATTTTTTGTAAACCATATAGACTTAATATGAAGGGCTCAGTGGAAAAAGTACTTAAGTGTGTTTTGAGAGTTTTGAGCAAAATGAGTGCGCAGTTTTTAAATTGAAGCTGAAATACCAAAACAGCTGATGCAAAGTATTCGAATTAAGCTACTTCGGTACTTTTTCCATGGCCCAAATTTACAGGGATGGTTAAAAAAACAAATGGTACCTGCAGTGAGGTTAATGTAATTAGTAATAAAACAAATAGTATTAGTTGCCTCACAAGTTAAAGACAGTTACAAGTACTATGGACGTTTCGACCCAAGGTCTTCGTCAGCACACAACAGTGTGATTACAGATTAGACAAATAAAGACAAACAGTAACAGGGATGGTTAAGGATAGGTAATCAAATAATATACCGGTCTTAACTCATTTTTGAAAAAATGTAACTTAAGTACTTTTTCCACTGAGCCCTTCATATGCTTATCAGCTAATTTGCTGTTAATTTTTCTCAACTATATTTAATAACTATATTGAGTGTTGTATTGTAATTAGCAATACCAATTAACACATCAGAACTAAGTTTGCAGAAACTGTAACTTATTGAAACAAGTATTAAACACAATGTAAATGCTCAACAGCTTCTGTAAATACATTGCCTAATCTAATTAGTTTAGAATATTCCCATGCCCAAAAGTTCAGATCACACTTTAAATAAAAATATTTTCAGAAGAATCTTGTTTAGTAGTAATTACAGCAAATAAGTTACCTAATTAGCCTGGATCTTTAATGAGCTTAATAAAAATCAGTTATAACATTTAGTTTTGAACTATTATGAATATAAAGAGAATAGTAGTCACATAGAAAAGATTAGTAGAATCTATTTCAAATGAATTCTTAGGTCTTAATAAAATGTAAAAAGATTAACTTTTGAAAGATAATCAGTTTGTCCTTTATAGTTACATATTTGTTGTAGATCTACTTATTTATGGCCCTATAGCATATAGTTAATTATTAAAACAAAAAATTTACATAACAATTGAAAATACTCCTCTATTAATCCCAAAAATGTCTTCTTACAGACTTCATACTAAATACTTTAAGATAATTTTTTTACTGCTTAAAAATAAAATGGTACCGCTTCTTACTTCTATTTGTTATAGCCTAATTTACTTAAATTTACTTGGTTCAATGTTTATATTCTTTGCATTATTTTTATTTTATAATTATTGGTCAAATTATGTATCTAAAATCTAAATGTTAACCTCCACCCTTTTATTTGACTCTAGATGTAGATCAATATCATTAGATCAGTAGCGTACGCAGGGGGGGGGAGCAGGGGGAGCAGCCGCTCCCCCTCTGGCCATTTTCAGCAAAGTGGCGCCTTTTTTGGAAACTTTTTAAACTCAAAGTTTTAAACAATGATATTTGTTAAAAAAATATTTTTGGTCGGCACATCTATGTAAATCATGAGATTTCTTTTCATGCAGCAATTAAGCATTACTGTACTAGTCTAGTAGTGTCTACGTTTACAACACGTTTAACAGCTGCATCAGTTTGCCATTCTAAAAATAACCATTACGATGCATTGCAATGTTTAAAAAACTTCTACGGGTAGTACCACTTGGCAAGAGGGGTGTTAAGTTTAAGGCAACTGTATAATGTATTTGCTTACGAATAATTGATTTAGAAAATGTTATACATAAAACTTCACACATAATTACTTTATATATACAGTTTGAATCATGTGATTCATTTTTAAAAAAAATTACAATACAGAAACAAATACAACTGATGTGGCACCTCTATTTTAATTTACTTATGAGCAAACTGCGTAGTGGTGGGGAAATTTTGACAAGGTCAACAACGTCATCACGATGAAGTAGTAGTATTCTTACAGTTTGGGCGATAGTGATTACGATAACAAATTATTTGAAACAGTTACAACCTCCTTCCCCCATGGACCCCTCTGTAAAAAATATTGTCATAATACCACTGCTACTTATTTAAATCTATTTCTGTAATATATATTTGTGTAATATATATTTGTGTAATATACATTTGTGTAATATATATGTATGTTTAGAATAGTCATCTAAAAACTGACGCTATGTTCACTCTGAGTTGGTTATCTCTCCCCCCCCACACACACACACACCTCACCACCACAATTGTGTAGAGCAGGGGTCGGCAACCTTTTGAAGCGGAAGAGCCAAAAGTTAAAATTTTCAAAATTTCCCTGGTATTAAAGAGCCACTAACATTTTTTTTATTTCAAATATTTTATTTTTTGATTAAGATTACTAGTATTTGTGCAAGGAGCTGGAGAGCCGCATCTTGATATCAAAAGAGCCGCATGCGGCTCGCGAGCCGCAGGTTGCCGACCCCTGGTGTAGAGCGACATTAATGTCACACCTAGGTATACACTGGGTTGGATAATTGACCTAAGAGACCGGACAGTGGTGAATGAAGTTAAACCTACCCCCCCCAACCCACCCCCAACTGATCTGTTAAGTACATGTAGAAAAACGCGAAGTGATGTACCAGAGTACCATACCGCCAGAAAATTATCTTTTTAAACGTAAAACTCTGTGAATATTGTTTTTGCATTTACCAGTAAAAAGGTGTGATCAATACAGAGATCTAACCCATACCTATCTCTATGTTAAAAATGATCTTTAAAGAACATAAAGAAGCAGTAGTTAATTTAAATTAAATCTGAACTAACAGACCAACATGTAATTAAATGTAGACTGTTATTCCGAGTGTTTTTCAATTATATCGAAAAGCGTGGTCTTATACCAACTCTGATTTTAAAAACTTTCATTATGCTGTTATACTTTAGCATTTTTGATGACGATATATTAAATTCTGATTATAGACAAAAACATTGTGTAAACACGAATAGTGTTAAACAATTTTATTATATTCTAAAGTAATTATTTATTTGTTTAAACATTTATAATTAAATGTGTAGATAGATACATATTTATATTAAGAGATTGATTAGTTCCCCTTGTTCACTTTCTTAAATTATTTCGCAGGAATTATTATGTAAGAATTTTTTTTTACAAGAATTACAAAACAGATTGTGTTTCGTTCATTGTTTTTGGTTCGAATGTGTGTATATATATATATATATATATATATATATATATATATATATATATATATATATATATATATATATATATATATATATATATATATATATATTGTTTAGATTGATAAAAATTTTCTTTTGTCGGCCTACATTGTGTGTTTTTTCTTATTTCTTCAGAGTACTACTTTCAATTTATTTTGCATCATAGCGAAGTAATGACATACCGCTAGTTATTTTATATATATATATATATATATATATATATATATATATATATATATATATATATATATATATAGTACACGTTTATAGAACGTGTTAAAAATTCGGCGCCTTTTTTTTTGCTCTTTTCGCTCCCCCTACAACGAAAACCTGGATACGCCTCTGCATTAGATGTTCGGAGTGTCTATTCACATTCGACTGTGAATAGCAGTATTAGGAATAGCCTTGGCCTTAGATGTAGGGCCTATAGAATAGATATTATAAATCTAGATCTAGAATAGATTTTAAATAGATATATCATCCTTTTCCAGATCTAGATTGTCACTATACTTATACTATAACTATAATATAAACTATTTAAAACATAATATAGATCTAGATCTAGATATATCTATTACTACTAGATTTAGATCCTGGATCTAGACTACCTAAGATTTAAATCTAGATTTCTAGATCTAGGCTAGGTCTACTTAAGTACTACTCTAGAAGACTAAAACTCTTAGCTCTATGCCATGGAGTCTATGTCTAGATCTAGATATATTATACTAGATTCTAGATCTATATCTATAGCCTAAGTCTAGATCTAGAAATCTAGATCTAGACTCTAGCTAGATCTCTAACTCTAGATCTAGAATCTAGATCTAGATCTAGAATCTCTAGATCTAGAAACTGGATCTCTAGAATCCAGATCTAGATTCTAGACTTAATCTAGATTTTGATCTAAAACTGAAAAGTAGAATCTAGATCTAGATCTAGTTCTAGACACGTCTAGATCTAGATTCTAGAAATATCTCTAGACTCAACATACTTTTAAACTCTAGATTCTCTAGCAGTAGCTAGACTCTAGCTAGATCTAGATCTAGTATTCTAGAGTGTCTAGATCTAGTCAGTCCTAGATTTAGCTAGCTAGAGTCTGGAAATTAGAATAGATCTCTCTTCTCTAGAGTCTAGTCTAGACTCTAGATCTAGTTGTAGACCTAGTCTAGATCTAGATAATATCTAATCTAGATTCTAGATCTAGATCTAGATCTACATTTAGATCTGGATCTAGAATCTAGAAATCTAGAATCTAGATCTAGATTCTAGATCTAGAGAATCTAGAATTCAAAAAAAAAAACATAGATCTAGATCTAGATCTAGCTCTATTTGGGCTCTATGGGTGTGGGGAAATTGCGAGACGCGAAAAGCGAAATGGCGAGGCGGGAAAATGCGAGAAGGGCGCGAAAACGGTCGGTCACGTGACTTTTTTGTCTCGCATTTTACCACAAGCCGATACTTACGCTGGGTGGTGTTGAAATGCGAAGATTTCTGCGAAAAATTTACCGCACCCGATTTTCAGTGGTATTTGGTCCAGACTTCAAAGACTTTTCGTTTACATTGTTAAAACTTCCGATTTTTCCGTCGCTAGACATACTGATGATTTGTCAACTCCCCCCATCTTTTGTGTCGACTTAGAATACCACGGAAATACCGCCGACGATAGATCAACTTCTGTCTTTTGTGTGGAACGCCGAGGCCGCCTGATTTACCGTCTT